GTTTTAGTTTCTTTGAAACAGGGTCTCAGATAGCTCAAGCTAGCCTCAAATAAGTGGTGATCCTCCTGTCTCAGCCTACAAAGAACTGAGATTATAGGTATGCAGTACCATGAGTACCATGCGCTGGCTTCTTGTTAGCTTTGGAGGATGGTATGATGTAACATAGGCTGGGCTTGAACTCCCAATCTTCCCAAACTCAGGAGCTTGCAGCTTTAATTGTTTCTCCACGCTGGTGCCCTGGCAAGCCAGACCCACTGAAATGTGAGCACTTGTCTACAGTGCTCACCTGGGCCCCATCTTTGATTGACTCTTCCTCACACATACTGATAAGTTTCGTTCTTGTTTTAGGTGGAAAACCAGATGACATCACTGTCCTCCTCTCAATAGTGGCTGAGTACACAGACTGATTAGCCACACTGGCGACTCCTGCCTTTCTCTTGTCGCCCTACTTGTCCCTGCCATGTGTGCTGATCCTGCTGGCAGGACCACGTTCCTTTGCCACTGATCTCAGTGGCCAATGATGGATGCCTGGCCCATGTGTGAGACCCATTGAGATCCTTGTTGAGAACCACTACTGTCATCCACTAGCCGGGACCTGCTGGTGACTGCCAGGAGAAGCGAGGTGACCGCTCCCTTCTCCCGGAGGTTCTCAAAGCCTTTTACTTGTCAAAAGCTGTTGAAGTTTTTTTGAAAATAAGTAATATTGGTAAAGTGAATTCAAAATTTCAGTGTGTTAAAGGGATGTTAACATTCAACAAATAGTAAACAGTGACATATCTACCAGAAGACACACAGACCCTCCTTGGAGAAGCCCCGTGTCCCACAGGCGCAGTCTCTGCTAGGCCTGGTGTGGCTTTGTGTTTTCTGTGTAAACTCCTGTTTTCCAGGAGCCACAATCCTGCTCCAAAACTGTGTGCTGGGTTATGACATCTCAACCCTAGCAACCTACAGTTTTGGTTACAAATTGGAAGAAAATTTTTGTTCTATGGATGCAAATATTTTGTGCTTCTTAAAACAATGCTTAATTGTGCTGCTGTGATTGAAGCTATGGCAGTTTATTGGTTTGTCCAGGTCACAGGGTAGAGGCCTGGCCCACAGGAGGGATAGAGGAAGGAGACTCCTTATAAAGTCCATTGATGGAAAGGCACCGCAAAACTGCAGAAGTCCTCAAAGCCTGAGAATCAAACGCTGCGACTGAAGTCGTCCGCTCTGCCTGTGAGGATTGCCTGCCCCGGGCCTTCCCGGGGTAGAGTGTGCAGCTTGGAATGGGGTTGGCTGTGGACAGCCTCGCTCCTCCCTCGGGAGCCTCACACCCTTAGAGCCTGCCCCACCTGCACTGTGTCTTCAAGGTGACAGCGTGGTGGTTGCAGCACAGAGTCCACAGGGAAGCTAGTGAGACTGGCATTTGCAGTGACCCCAGCTGAGTGTGGGGTTCTGAGTCCAGCTTAATGTTTACAGTTCAATAGCCATTTGCAGTAGGTGACGCCCTTCTCAGACTTCCCATTACCTGCAAGCGCACACTTACTCTTAAGGGTTATGTACAAGTGACTGCTGTAAAGATATATATTTTTGGGTCCGTTCTTTTCCTTTAACTTGGTGGTAGAAAACCGTATATACTTAGAAGTCCTTAAGTTAAAGCCGTGTTTTCTGTGCAAGTCAGGTAACGGTGTGAAGATCTTGTGAGCAACCACACACAGCCCTTCCTCTGCAGGAGACACTGGCTCTCTGGTTACTGCATTGAACTTGTGTTTGAGGTTACCTCAACTTGTTTTTAAAAGATTTTGTCTGTGAGTTTGTATATTTGAGTAGCTGTCTCTTGTTTTATTTAAATTGTTTACCATGTACCATGTACATGTCATTGCTGTATCTCAGTGCATCATGCTTGTAACAGGCATTTCGTTTATAAGAATGAGTTACTCATTTGTAAGCTGTTCAGTAATTTATCTACTATTCCTAAATTGGCATAATGTTAGATTCCTATATTGAATCACATTTAATTACATGTCAGAATGCCTTAACTACCCTAACCTGACAACACTGAGTTCTTTGGTGAGGAGATACAGGGCCGGGTATGGAGGGGACTGGAATAAGGAGATGTCATGCTCTGTTGATCACGGAGCATGAGGGGCACGTGGTGGGTATTTATTTTGCACAAACTCTTTGCAGTGTCTGTGTTTAAAACAGTACGGTTGCATCCAGACAGGGTGTGTGACCCTAGGACTGACTACTTCACCTCTTCTGTGTGGTTTGTAATTAGCTTCTGGTCAGAAGTATTGTTGTAGCCTTACAATCTGGATATATTTTGCATTAATTTTCCAATGCCGACTTTTAATTCCTACTAAGAGCAGAGCTGGTCAAGTGCTGGCTTTTTTTCTGCTCTTATTTAGCCCATCAAGCAATCTTTATAAAGGTAGATTGGTGTATTTTATACAATTTACTTACTTAGTCAACTCACTTTTCTGAGCAGTGATTGTTAGAAAGGGACAATGTGGCTGTTCTAGTACACTGAAGACCACGGGGCAGGCATGGAGGTTCAGAGTGGAAATTACTTTGGGCCTGGCACATGGACTCGCAGTGGCGTTTACATATTCCGTTTGCTTCTCCCTGTCCTTTTGTTACATGCTTCATTTTATGACTGTCAGAGGTCAGGTGGAGTGAGTGCTGCCTCAGTCCCCCATGTCCAGGGGCTCGGTCACACACCCCTCGATAGGTCCGATTTGGAACCTGGTGTGCGTGCATTGTATTTTAAATCAAGCAATGTAAGCACTCATACTTGTCTCATGGAGTGAACTTTTATAACAAAGAGAAATTTGGGTTTTAATTTACAAATGGCAAATTATTTATCCCTCTCTGGATGCACCAAAGACCAGTAAAGTTTATAGCTTTTCCATCTATATTTATAAAGCAATACTGTATTATAAAAAAATCACTATTTTTATCACATGCTTGAAATTATTTTGTTCTGTTTTAAATATGTGCACTCTAAACATATCAGAACCTTATTTCTTCCTATGAACTTAAGCTGCCTGCGCACAAAAAATAAATAAGATTACCAAATGGAGATGAAGTAGCTAGAGTCCCTAGGCTCTTAAAAATTGAAAACAATGAGGGTGGAAACAAGTTATTTGTCCCGAGTTACTGTACGTGTTGACGTGGTTGATAGGTACTAATTCACAAAGAATCCATTCCAGGTGTGCGTGTCTGGGCTGGGCTGTGTCTGGAGTAGAGTCTGAGTATGAGCTTTCTGAGGCAGGAGAATTCCCTTTCCTGCCGCTGCCCTTGTTCTGGACGAAGTAGGCAGCAGATGGAGACCTCACAGGGCTTCCATCCTGGTGGTGAGTGTTGTGGAGGTGGCTGGCAGGGTTGGGTAAGACTGTACATGTTTGTACTTTTGGGTAGGTTCATGGCTCCTTGTCACTGTACACCAACTATCTTATACCAAAAAAAAAAAAAACTGCTTATAAAGCAAAATACGAACCAGAAGACATTTGGATTCTATTTCTTTCAAGAAAGTAAATTTATCACAAAATTGAACTTCTCCAGTAAAGCAGTGTCCATGTCACAATGTAACTGTTAGCAGGTAGTCTGTGGCAAAGGTGACTAAGTGATGAAGCAAATCTGATCTGTGTGTACTAATGAACTGTGCTTTCTGTTGAGACTATCATTGTTTGTCCTGTAAGAGGCAATGATCTGAATCGCTGTCTGAAATATAACTTATGCAGGAATAGTTCTGTAAATACATTTAAGTAAACTGTAAAGATATTTAATAAATAGAGTATTTATACTAATTGCCACTCCTTTGGTTTTGAATGGTTAGGAACTAGGACACCAGCCCTCGGCATTGTCGTCCTCTCTGTCCCGTCCTCAGCCCTACCTAACGTGGACCAGCACTTCAGAGCTGCGCCTTCCGTGCTTACCATGTCTTCCTCAAAACTTCACCAAAATGGACTGCCAATTGAGTGTAAAATTGAGGGTTTTTTTTCAGCTGGGGTATCGTTGTGCCTTCCAAACAGTACTGAGTGAAGCTACCAAAAAATGCTGCTGTGAGGGCCAGGGCTTGGCAGCAGAGCACTGACCATCTAATGTGTGTGTGAGGCCCTGGATTCTATCTCGTGTGCACACTTGTGTGTACGCACATGCATGCACATACATGCACTCTCGTGTGCGTGTGTGTGTGCGCGTGCACACATGTCAAATTGTGCTCTGCTGGCATGTCAAAGCCCTAGAGTAACAGTGTCACAGTCTTGTGTAGACTATGCTGTACTCAGGCTTACCAAGGTGCTTTGGAGTGAACCCAGGCCTCCTGCTCAGCAGGAGACCCACAGAGTTGCTCTGCAGCCACCTGCATCCGTTAGGTTAGTCATCAGTGTAAACATGAGATTCATAAACCCTCAGCCTACAACGGTAAGGACAGAGCTGCTAAGATAGGTGGGCATTGCCAGGTTCCACAAAAAGCTTGGTGAAAGCCCATTTTCATTCACAGAGGAACATCTTGGGATAAAGTTGGGTTTTTATTAGGTTACTGTGGGCAGCTGTGAGTCATTGCTAAGCTACAAGAACCAAATCACGCTGGTTTTAGCTAGAATCTGCTCACACTTCTGAAGCACACTAACCCACTTAGGCAGCACTTCCAATTTCTCAGAGACTAAAGTGCAGTGGCCTGCTGGTTGACATTTCCTTATGGTTTGATGACTTTATGAAGACTTAGCAATGAGATGTTCCCTAAGGCTCCTTTGTCAGCTTGTAGTTGACTGTAAGCAGATTTGGGGAGAGATCCACAAGGTACGATGTTGTGTAACATTGTGTCTGCAGGTAAGCAGCTCCTGAGAGACCAAAGCACAGTTTGTCTCCCACCTCCCTCATCCCACTGCACCAGAGCTCAGGCTGCTGCCCATGTGCTGACGATTCAGACAGACCACTGCATAGCGTGCAGGAAGCAGAGCAAATGAAGGTTGGGAAACAAAATCGTGTAATATACAAAATGACCTAAGTGAAAAAGATTGAATGTACATTTCTTTATTCAGAACCTTTTTTCTAGTTGGAAAAAAAACCCACCAGTGAACAAAACGTGCCAGGTCATTGCATAGGAAGGGACTGCATGACTATTGTCTGCAGTCATGTACAGAAGCATCCTAGGGCCCCTGGGAAGCTGTCCTCCCACCCTGATAACTGAAAAGTCTGCCTTTTAGGGACCCACAAAAGACATGCCAAGGCTGCAGGGTAAACGATGGTATTGCCGGGCGGTGGCAGCGCAAGCCTTTAATCCCAGCACTCGGGAGGCAGAGGCAGGCGGATCTCTGTGAGTTCAAAGCCAGCCTGGTCTACAGAGCGAGTTCCAGGACAGCCTCCACCAAACAATACAGAGAAACCCTGTCTCGAAAAACAAACAAACAAACAAACAAACAAAAACAACAAAAACGATGATCTAAGAACCCTGGTATGTTCGTTCCAGTGACGCTGGCTCTGTCCCCAAGTGGCGCAATGGGTTTGTAGTGCACACTGATGACAGAAGAGCTGGGACACTGGCTGCCCCATTTCCCCTTGGCCTTCAGGAGCCAGGACCAGCATCCAGTGCAGCTCTGGCTGAGCACCAGGCTGTGGACACTCATCCACTCACATCCTCTTCACTGTCACTTGCTATCGCCAAGCTGTCCAAAGGGTGGCCGGCATGTTCTTGCTCTTCAGAAGAAACTGCTCCGAAAAACATGCAGGAAAACTGGAAGGGAAGACAAGCTTGCAGTTTATTCTGAAGACACAGCATCCTCACTAACGGCTCCCCCTGAGCCTTTGAGAATGGGGTCAGGTGCTGCCACTGTCTGATGGTGATGAGTCACAGGCACCATTATCAACCAAACTCATCTAGATTGAGTCTCTTCTGATGTCGGCCCAAGACAGGACCTTTGTGAATGTGGTTCACTGTGACCTTTCTTGGAGCTAAAATGTCCACAAGGACTGGGAAAGGCAAGGGGGTGGCTAGCTGTCTCCCTCCCCTCCTGACCCTAGCTATACTTGCCCTGCCCCCACCCAGGGCTTGCTGCTCTGTTTAAGGATCCTTGGTGTTGCTGATGTTAGATGTGCCATCCTCTTCTCTCCATAGACATGTCCGTACGTAGGGACTCTCCTCATGCCCCTTCCCACCCTGTGTTAAGTTTCTGACCTCAGCACCTCCCAGAAACAAGCAGCCACCATAGCAGAAGCCGTGGGATAGGCTGGAGAGAAGGGGACTTCTGCAGGTGTGACAGCAGCAGCTTCTGACCCCCTCATTCCAGTTAACCCCAGCCTAACTGGTGAGCAGGACAATAGCCCACCATGAACTAACCCTAGGGCCCCAGCACACAGGTACGTAGTGATGAAATCAGGTTGCACAGCTGATGTTACCAGCCAGGTGGGCTAAAAACTTGGCTGCCTGGCTTGGGAGACAGAGAGGGACTATGAGCCTAAGAATGGAGGAAGGGGCCAGAAAGAAGCAGGCTAATTGACACCCTGATGCTTGCCCCGTGAGAACCATTTGACACCATGACCTTTGGAACTGGAGAGTACATTTGTGCCGTTCCTGCTTTGAAATCTGTGGCCACCTGTTAAAGAGCAGCAGTTGCCTTGAGCTCAGCTGGAAGCAGTCTCTATTGCTTGACTAAGGTCAAGGTCCTAAGGCTAGAGATGACCCAAGCAGCCTCTTCTGTCTGGTGTTTGGCCCCGTGCAGTAGCTCTCAGTAATGTTCATGGCACCGTGTGAGGCTGCAAAATTCAAGCTTACCTTGGTGTATGAGGATTGCCTAACTTTGCTCCCTGCCCTTGTTCTTGATGTCTACCTGGGCTTAAAATCTGTGGCTGGTTGCCAGGCAGTAGTGGGGGAACCCCTCTAATCTCAGCATTCAGGAAGCAGAGGCAGGTAGATCTCTGATTTTGAGGCCAGCCTGGTCTATAAAGCAAGTTCCAGGACAGTCAACTACAAAGAGAGACCCTGTCTTGAAAATACACACACACACAAACAAAAACTATGGCTGGCTAACAGCCCTTCCTACACCAGGAACCATGCACACACAGGAAAGGTCAGCTGGGCTCAATGTTAGAGCACTCTGCTAATGTGCCAGCACGGCACAGCAAAGGAAGGTGAGAAACTCCTGACCCTGGGTCACACGTGTGGGCTGGGAGGCATAGATGCATGAACAAAACAATAAGGGGCTGGAGAGATAGCTCAGCAGTTAAGAGTGTTTGCTTCACCTGGGCGTTGGTGGCGCACGCCTTTAATCCCAGCACTCAGGAGGCAGAGGCAGGCGGATCTCTGTGAGTTCGAGGCCGGGCTGGACTGACAGCCTCAAAAACAATACAGAGAAACCCTGTCTCGTAAAACCCCAAAAAAAAAAAAAAAAAAAAAAAAAAAGCAGTGCTTGCACCACACCGTCCTGTAGAACATGGAGGAAGCAGGATGTCTGCCTCTGGCTGCAGCTCAGGAGCAGTGGACAGAACTCAAACTGGCACTGAGGAAGAACCCAGGCTCTCTCTGTCTGACATGATATGCTGGGGAACATAACAAGCACAAGACAGCTCAGCAAAGGAGAGACAAAGCCACTGCACAGAATAGCTGTGCACACACGTAAAGCAATCCGTGCACACTAACGAGAACAGCAACAGTCATGTAGCCCACGCTGGGCTCAAACTCACTGTATACCACCATCCAAGCTCACAGAATGCTGGGATCAAACCCAGACCCCGGGCATCCTAAGCAAGCACCCCCACCCCTTTACCATTTATTTGTTTAAAGACAATCTCTAGCGTTCGCTGGTTGGCCTGGAACTCATGATCATCCTGCCTCACCCTCACAAGCTCTGGAATTCCTAGCAGGTGCTCGCTCCCAGCCAGGAGTACACTTAACAATAGATATTCAACCCTTATGAAGAAGCTTGATGTGCTGCCCACTTCACTCCTGCTCAGGAGGCTGAGGCAGAGGGTTGGGAGTTTTCACCTTGTCTTCTTCACTGCATCACCTTCCACAGGAACAAACGGTGTGGTGCTGCATTCCAGACCTTGCCATACAGAGAGACAATGCATCCTCAACTGCAGAGGAAATCTGAGGCAAACCTGAACTGCATGAGACCCTGTCTCAAGAAAATAAATGAAAAATGATAAAGTCGGAATTCTAAAACAGCCCTCAAAGACTAAGTGCGCTTGGTTACAGGTTGATGAGTGGACAGCACAACAGTGCTTTGTCTAAGAGAAGTGTAAAGTAGCTTAGGTACCAGCAGGCACTTTTTATGGAGATGGGTGAGTTGTTACTAAAGTTTAAATAACAAGTAAATGCTCAAAAGTAGAAAAAGCTAAGTCTGCAGAAAGCTACTAGGCCACCAAACTAGAAGCCACTGATGAAGTGGCAGTGGATAAGGAGGAGATTTAAGGGTCAGCCATAGAAGTCCAGACATTGGCACAAGTGACAAAGGAGACAGCAGAGCCCTGGGCAAAGGCAGGCCTATAATTTTAAAGGTTTAAAGAGGCAGCTGCATAGCCATTCTGGAAAGACAAACTTAGACCCATAATTCACACCATGCACAAAGACAGACTCCAGATGGCTCGGTGAGTAAACATGAGGAAAGGGGTGGATTTCTTAACCCGTGTAGGAAAAGCTTTCTAATTGACTCAAAAACATTTGAAATTAAAAAAAATTACTATGTAAAGGAAAAATTCAGTGCATGGCAAAAAACAGAAAAACAATGTAAGACGTGTAGGTGGGTGCAACAACCATCCCTGACAGTGGCTTCATGAGCCAGAGTGCCCAGTGAGCACAGCACAAGGGACACGGCTGTAGACTGTGCAGCTGGTAAGAGCACGTCTGTTCTTCCCAAGACCCAAGTTAGGCTCCCAGAAGATATTTGACATCACTCAAAATCAGAAATGCAGGTTAAAACCACGTTGAGAGGGAGCATGGCTCAGCATTTATGAGCGCTTACTACCTGAGTTCTGTTCCTATCACCAAGTTTGTGGCTCACGACTGCCCGTAACTCCAGTTCCATGGGATCTGACACCTCTTCTCATTTCTGGGTACGGCACACATATGGCAAACACACACACATAAAAACTAAAGGTCTAGTTCCAGAACTGCGGAGTGGGTGGATTTGTGGGTTTGAGGCCAGACTTGTCTGCATAGTGAGTTCCAGGACAGCAAGGGATATGTAGAGAGACCCTGCCTCATATACACACACACACACACACACACACACACACACACACACTGGTGCTAAAGAGGTGACTGCAGCTAAGAGCACCAGCTGCTCTTGCAGAGAACCCAGATTTGGTTCCCAGCACTTACACAGGGGCTTACACCAGTAACTCTAGTTCCAAGAGATTCCGCTCAGCCTCTTTGGGCATCAGGTACACATGCAGCACACACACTTCTTAACCAGGCAAACATACATAAACCCTTTTAAAAGCAAAACAACGTCTCTGAACATAAATTTGGCAATGACTTGAGGAAACTCACTCGCCTTCATGGCTACAGCAAGCACCTCAAAGACAATCTGTACACATGGTCACTTATCACACTCGGGAGTAATTTACCTTAAGGCCACCCTTCTTTTTTGTGTATGTGTGGGAGGAGTGCTGGATTTCAAGACAGGGTTTTTGTGTAGCCCTGGCTGTCCTGGAACTAACTTTGTAGACCAGGCTGGTCTTGAACTCACAGAGATCTGCCTGCTTCTGCCTCCCAAATGCTTGGATTTAAGGTGTGCACCACCATCACCCAGCAAAGCCAAATTTATACCAGGAGATGCATGTGTGACCCAGTTTTTTTCTTAAAACTTTGCTTTTGTTTTGTTTTGTTTTTCGAGACAGGGTTTTTCTGTATTGTTTTGGAGGCTGTCCTGGAACTCACTCTGTAGACCAGGCTGGCCTCGAACTCACAGAAATCCACCTGCCTCTGCCTCCCGAGTGCTGGGATTAAAGGCGTGCGCCACCAACGCCTGGTTTATTTGCTTATTTTATTGCTTTTTCGAGATGGAGTTTCTCTTTGTAACAACTCTGACTGGAACTTGCTCTGTAGACCAGGCTGGTTTCCTCGAACTCACTTTCCTCGAACTCACGGAGCTCAGTCTACCTCTACCTCCTGAGTGCTGTGATTAAAGGCATGTTCACCCACTGCCTGGCATATTCTATTCAGGCAAAGTCTCAAAAAAACACCTTTAGCTGTCCTGGAACTCACTATGTAGACCACATTGACCTTTAGCTCAGAGAGATCCTCCCACCTCTGCCTCCCAAGTGCTTGTAACAGCTTTTGTAGTTACATAATACTGGGGGACAATAAATGGACATGTAGAGCAGATAAGTTAACTCACAGGCTAAATATTACAGCTGCTGTGCAGAAAGTGGTGTTTTCTAGTACTTTAAGTGCAGAAAGCAGCTGGGAAGAATATTTGTGTAAGAAAACATGTGCAGCTGCTCATTTGTAAAGAAAGAAAAAAGTACTTGGTGCCTAGCATGAGAACCTGAGTTTGGATCCCAGCACTAGCATAAAAATCTGGGCACTGCCGGGCGTTGGTGGCGCACGCCTTTAATCCCAGCACTCGGGAGGCAGAGGCAGGCGGATCTCTGTGAGTTCGAGGCCAGCCTGGCCTACAAGAGCTAGTTCCAGGACAGCCTCAAAAGCCTCAGAGAAACCCTGCCTCAAAAATCAAAAATCAAAAAAAAAAAAAAATCTGGGCACTGTCACCTGTCTATTACCCCAGGGCTGTGGGGTGGGGACAGGCAAATCCCTGGAGCTCATTGGTCAGTCAGCCTACCTGAAGAAATAAACTACAAGTTCACTGAAAAACCTTGTCTCAAAAAATGAAGGACAGCCAGTGAAATGGTTCAGTGAGTGGGCAAAGCTTGGATCCCAGGTCCCATATAATGAAGGGTGCAGCATGGGCATGGGAACACTCAAATGTAACCTTTTTGGGGGGGTTTGGGTTTTACGAGACAGGGTTTCTCTGTATTGTTTTTGAGGCTGTCGTCCAGCCCAGCCTCGAACTCACAAACTCACAGAGATCTGCCTGCCTCTGCCTCCCCAGTGCTGGGATTAAAGGCGTGCGCCACCACCGCCCGGCCAAATGTAACTTTTTAAAGTTGCTGATTCTTTTTTCTAAAGCTCCCCAGCAGCCTCTGTGTGTGTGTGTGTGTGTGTGTGTGTGTGTGTGTGTGTGTGTGTGTAAGTGCCCATGCGGGCAAGCTCCTATGGAGGCTAGAAGACAGTGTAGGATCCCTGGAGCTAGAGTTACAGGCAGTTGTGAGCTACCCAACTTGGGTGCTTGGAACTAAACTCTTTGCAAGAGTTTCAAGCATATTTAATCACAGCCATCTCTTCAGTCCCCACAAATATATTTTTTCTCAATATATGTTTTTATTTAAATTAGAAACGTGAATGCTGCCAGGCGGTGGTGGCGCACGCCTTTAACCCCAGCACTCAGGAGGCAGAGGCAGGCAGATCTCTGTGAGTTCGAGGCCAGGCTGGACCAACAGCCTCAAAAACAATACAGAGAAACCCTGTCTCGTAAAAACCAAAAAAAAAAAAAAAAAAAAAAAGAAAGAAAGAAAGAAAGAAACGTGAATGCTTCACATGTCAGTCCCAGCTCCCTCTCCCTCCCCTCCTCCCTTGTCCCTCCAGCAGTCCCCCAGCCCAATCCCCACATCATTCCCCAGGGAGGGTGAGGCCCTCCTTGGGGGGATCTCTAAAGTCTGTCATTTCATCCTGGGCAGAACCTAGGCCCTTCCCCATGTGTCCAGGCTGAGAGAGCATCCCTCTATTTGGAATGGGCGCCCAAAGCTCATTCATAAACCATGTGAACACTGATCTACTACCCAAGGCCCCAGTGATTTCTGTGGCCTCCTCCCTGGCGCCTACATTCATGGAGTCTGGATCAGTCTCCTGTTGGCCTCTCAGCCATCAGTCTGGGATTCACACAAATATATTTTTAATTTAAAAAGTCACCAGTATAGACTTTGAGCCTCCGTGTGCTCACATGTGTATTTACATGCACAGATGTGCACACCACACAACAGATATACCACATATACACAATACTATTTTTTAATTGGTAAGTACAACAATATACAGGAGGTTAGGGCACTTGCTGTGAAGCTAACGACTCTGACTTGATCCCAGAGACCCACAGAGTAGTAGAGAATTGACAGCAAGCTGTTTTCAGATCACCACTCACATGCTGTGGCATGTGTGCACACATACACAAATTTTAACTGAAAATAAAATGACCAAATGCTTTAATGTAAATGGAAACTGAAATTAGAAGAGAACACAGATAAAGCAGTTACAGAACAGTCAAGGGCTTTGTGAAAGGGACTCCAATAGTGCAGGGAAGAATACTAAAGACTGCTGGGTGGTTGGTGGCACACACCAATCCCAGCACTCGGGAGGCAGAGGCAGGCAGATCTCTGTGAGTTCAAAGCCAGCCTGGTCTACAGAGCGAGTTCCAGGACAGCCTCCAAAACAATACAGAGAAACCCTGTCTCCAAAAAAAACAAAAAACAAAAAAAAATTACTAAGGACTAACAGCCTAAAAAGCTCAGTTGGGAGAGCGTTAGACTGAAGAATACTAAGGACTAGCCGGGTGGTGGTGGCGCACACCTTTAATCCCAGCACTCCGGAGGCAGAGGCAGGCGGATCTCTGTGAGCTTGAGGTCAGCCTGGTCTACAGAGTGAGTTCCAGGACAGCCTCCAAGGCTACATAGAGAAATGCTGTCTGGAAAAACCAAAAATAAATAATGCTAAGAACTGACCACTGTCATTGCATGAAGTTAAGAAGCCCTGCACAGCAGAAGGAACAACAATGAGTGAAAGCCTGCAGACTGGGGTAAAACCTTTGCCAGCTATGCATCTGGCAGGGTCAGTATCCACAATGTATAAAGAACTCCAAAGAAGAAATACCCAAAACCAAACAACAGGGCTGGCAAGACGGCTCAGCAGGTTGACTGTCAAGCCTGATGAACGGGGTTCAATCCCCAGAACCCACACTGTAGAAGGAGAGAGCTTACTCCTGCAGGTTGACCACTGACCTCTCCATGTGCATGCATATATGCAATCGAGCGCACATGCATGAGCGCGCATGCACACACACACACACACACACACACACACACACACAAATGTGAAAACAAAAAAGAAACCTCAGGGGCTGGAGAGGGGGAGGACACAGATTCAGGTCCCAGAACCTGTTACTCCTGCTCCAGAAGATCTGATGCCCTCGTCTAGCCTCCATGGACACTGAACACACTGGTGCACAAACATACACATAATTGTAAAACAAAAAAAAACTCACAAATAACAAATGTTGGGAAACAAGAACCATCATACACTGCTGGTAGAAATGTAAATTAATCCATGCCTTGTGGAAATCAGCACAGAATCCTCAGACATAAGAACACGTGATGTTAAGCATGGTGGCACACTTGTGGTTAGTACTTGGGAAGTAAATCAGGAGTATTAAGACTTCAAGTCTAAGACAGGTGTTGGTGGCGCACACCTTTAATCCCAGCACTCGGGAGGCAGAGGCAGGCAGATCTCTGTGAGTTCGAGACCAGCCTGGTCTACAGAGTGAGTTCCAGGACAGCCTCCAAAACAATACAGAGAAACCCTGTCTCGAAAAACAAAACAAAAAACAACAACAAAAAGCAAGTCTATCCTTGATACATAGTTCAAGGCCAGTGTGGACTACATGAGACCCTGTCTGAACACCAAAAAGAATCAGGTATGGTGGCATATGCCTGTAATCCTAGCACCTGGGAGAGAAATAAAAGTACCACAAGTTTGAGGCCATCCTTGTCTATATAAGGAGCTCAAGACCAGCCTAAGCTACATGAGACTCTCCAAAACAAACAAAAGCTCTAGAAATTTGTACCCAGTGATATGGGGTACGTGTGAGTGCATAACCATAGCACCATTTTACTGCACCATTTTGCAATAATCACATTATAAAATCAACCTGACTGTCCATCATCAGATAAGTGAATAAACTGTGGTATATCCATGCAATGGAATTCTATTTAGCCATAAAGAAGAATGAAATGATGTAACGTGCTAGACAATGGATGCAGATGGAGGTCATCAAAGTAAATAAACTGGACCCAGAAAAATAAGTATTGCCTGTTCTCACTTGTGGATCATACATATGCAACACACCGTATATATGATCACATATAACAATGTGAAGCAGAATGGAGGCCAGAGGAGAGGAGACTAGCAGGAGGGAGTGGGAGGGGGGTGGAGGAGAGGAGACTAGAGGGGTGAATTTGCCTAGAGTAGATAATACACTTGAAAAAGCGTCTTCATGAGACCGGTGGCCTGACGGAGGCCACATCAAGGTGGGTGCTGAGAACTGGGCTGCCGTGGGGGCCTCAGCACTGCACTCCTACCTTCCTGAGGTGTGAAGGGCCTGGCCCTTCCTCCATGTCACTGACAACACTTTCAGGTACTTCAGAGATGTCGTCCTGGTTGGTGCTGGCTCTCTTGGTCTCTCTTGCACAGCTGCTGTCTGGAGAGTCCTTGGGAAAGAGCCTTTTGGGTGCTGCTCGAGAGATGCTCTCTGGGGCCTGGCTGGCTCGGCTCTTACCCACCTGGGCACTTGAGTGTGTGGGGTCTGTCCTGGGGTTTAAGAGGGATTAGATGGAGTTGTTTAGTGGGAAACAAATTTTTATGTAACTAAGAGCATATGAAATGTGAGATGATGATGAGAGCTGTGGATTAAGAAGTCCAGTAACAGAAGAACTTGTTGAAAGTTAATATTAATGTGTACACTCATTTAGAAATGCCCCAGACAGACTTGAGTTCAGCAACCCAGCATCCATGAGACATGAATTATGCTGACAGGACCTGTGGTGGTTTGAATGACAGCAGCCCCCACAAGCTCATCTGTTTGAGTGCTTGGTTCGCAGTTGGTAGAATTGTTTGAGAAGGATTAGAAGGAGTTGCCCTGTTTGGGGAGGTGTGTTACAGGGATGGGCTTGGAGGCTTTAAAAACCTCTCACCATCCCCAGTACACTCTCCACTTTCTGCTTGTGGATCAAGATGTGAGCCCTCAGCTGTTCCTGCTGCCATGCCCTTGCTCCACCATCATGGACTCTAACTCTCGGAAACTATAAGCCCAATTAAATACTTTCTTGTAGAAGTTGCTTTGGTCATGTGTTACCACAGCAATTGAAAAGTAACTAAGATAGGAAGGACCACAGGAAACTAGTTCAGCTGGTAACCTGCAATATGGCTCAGCAGGAAAAGACACCTACTGCCAAGCCTGATGGCCTGAGTGTAATCCCTGGGATCCTGATTGCATGTGTGCCACGGCAAGCATGCCCCCTACTCTCAGACTTAATGTGTGTGGACATCAGAGAGCAACTTTCAAGAGTTGGTTTTCTCCTTCCAGCAAGTAAATCACAAGATTAAACTCAGGTTGTCAGGCTTAATGGCTGGCATTTTTTTTTTTTTTTGGTTTTTTTGAGACAGGGTTTCTCTGTGGCTTTGGAGGCTGTCCTGGAACTAGCTCTTGTAGACCAGGCTGGCCTCGAACTCACAGAGATCCGCCTGCCTCTGCCTCCCGAGTGCTGGGATTAAAGGCGTGCGCCACCAACGCCCGGCAATGGCTGGCATTTTTATGCACTGAACTATCTTGTTGGCCTGGCCATGGATCAAGTTTTATAAGGTCATGAAAATGCATATTTTCAAATCAAAAATCATGACAGTAGAACATGTCATGGAGAGAACAAAATAGTGCAGTGACCCCAATCTTTAAAAAGGTAACTGTAAGCCAGTCATGGTAACACATGCCTTTAATCCCAACACCTAGGAGGCATGGGCAGGTAGAACTCCAGTTCAAGGCAAACCTAGTCTACATATTGAGTTCCAGGACAGTAGGGCTATGTAGAGAGACCCTGTCTCAAAAGAGAATTCTGATGTAATGTTTCATTCAGTTGTTTCAACATAAAGGGCAAAGCCCTTACTACACAAGGCCCTGAGTTGGACCCTCAGAACCTATTTAAAGCTGGATTTGGGAGTGTGTGTCTTTATCCCCATGCTTTTACATCAGGGAAAGGAGAATCCCCCACTCACAGGTCAACTAGCCTGCCATGTACAACTGTGAATGGCAAGAGACCTTGTGCAAAGTGCAGTGGAAGGACGGACCTACACAGAGGCCGTCCTCTGACTACACTGATGTGTGGCAGCACATCCCCTAAATATTAAAAGAGAAAACGACTCCAGCCTTACCTTCTTTGTGCCTGGGACACACACAGTGACTGTGGTGAAGACACTCTGCTTGGCTGGTCGGCTAACGTGGCCAAGATAAAGTTCGCCTCCAAGAGCATGTCTTCCATACTCAAAACAACGGGTCTAGAAGGACAGTGCAAACCAAGCATGTCGGCCATACTCAAAACAACGGAACTAGACAGCACAAACCACACTTCTGATGGTGTTAGGAACAGCAAGTACCACCAGCTTAGGGATAGAGACACAGTGCTCCTTCCATATTTACAGGTCTGCAGTCCTAAGAGCTGGGAAGCCCTTAGTGACCACAGGAAGTTGACCTGATTCAGTTTTAGTTTTGAACTACATTTAAGGCTTACACATGGAGTTCACAGTTCACGTGCTTGGGCCACGCATAACTTCCTAATTAGTCAATTTTTTTCAGGAGCCAGTCAAATGTTCACCTTGCAGAAAGATTATCTTTCTCAGTCAAAGTACCAGATTACTAACTTTTGCTTTCTTGGGACAAGTCGCATAGCACTCGCTGGTCTCAGACTAACTGTGTAGCCAAAGCTGAACTTCAACTCCTGGTCCTGTTGCCCTCACTTCCCACATGCCTGCACTACAAACCTGTGCTACTACATCTGGCCGGATTACCAATTTTAAAGCACCATGCTATGGCCTCTTTCTAACTTTTAGTTGATGAACATTGGTAGTAAAGTTGAAAGAGTCCGGGGGTGTGACGCCAGCTTTACCAAGCTCCAAAGGCTTTAGTTACGGTAACAAGGGAAGAGACAGTTCTTGGGGGACCTACTTCCCAGGAAAGTCAAAGTAGATGGATAAGGGAACGCGCATCACTTCTGAAAAGCTGAGGATCCCCTGCAGGGAGAGGAGGAGAAAATGGGATCATTTCTTTAGAAGTACTAATGAAAACTTGAGTTTGACTTCGACAGAAGTATTTGCTTACCTTTAGTTCTTTAAAGCAAAATGTTATTTCAGTATCGAGTCCAACTTGAAAGAAGTCAAACTCTTCTGGGTCAAAAGACATCTCACTGTACACAGAACTGCTTAAATCTGTGTGATGTAGGGACACAGAGATTAAAACTGGACCAGAGGCACGTGTTAACGCTTAGCACAAACATGCAACCCTGAGTTAATGAGAGCCAGGCAGTCTTTGTTCTTCTTCCTTAAAGTGGGGGAGGGAAGCTTAAGGCACTCGGCCGGGGGAATGTGGGGAGCCTGCGACTGCCCCGTGTGCTGCCTTTGGGTTTTCACATGCTTCCAGCCTCACTCGGCTAACAGCTGCATGAGGCCCCAAGTGGCTTCTGCTCAGCTGGTCCCCTCAACCTGCAGATCCCTGAGGGGAAAGGATGGCTCAGAGGTTAAGAGCACTGACTGATCTTCCAGAGATCCTGAGTTCAATTCCCAACCATCTACAATTCAATCTGGTGCCCTCTTCTGGTTTGTAGGCAGAACACTGTATATGTAATAAATAAATAAATCTTAAAAAAAAAAAAAGAAAGAAAGGACTGTCCCAGTTACAATGTTTTGGGATGAGTTTCTGTCACCAATAAATAACCAGAATACCATCACAACATTTTTTAAAAGTTTTTAGTGTGGCAGGAAGGGTCTCATGTACCCAGGTTGGCCTCAAAATCATTTATACGACCAAAGATGGCCTTGAACTCCTGATCCTCCCTGCCTCTATATCCCAAGTGCTGAAATTACAGGTCCAGGCCTGTAATTCTACATGGTAACTAATTCTTAAAGGGACTAGTCTAAATATAGTTTACATGTAAAAATAAGCTATAGTTTATTAGTGAATTATATCCCCATGTTTTTTAAAAATGTTAAAAATTTAAAACCTTGCCGGGCATTAGTGGCGCACGCCTTTAATCCCAGCACTTGGGAGGCAGAGGCAGGTGGATCTCTGTGAGTTCAAGAGCAGCCTGGTTTACAAGAGCTAGTTCCAGGACAGCCTCCAAAGCCACAGAGAAACCTTCTGCCTCGAAAAACCAAAATAAATAAATAAAAATAAAAAATAAAATAAATAAAATAAAAACATGACTTAAAGGTGAACTTAGGGTTCAAGGCCAGTTTAGGCAACTTAGTCAGGCCCTGTCTCAATAACTAAATAAAACCAATAAATAAAAGCTAAAAAGGTAGAAGTCAGGCATAGTAACTCATACCTATAATTTAGAAAGCTAACATTTACAGGCAGGAGAACTGCCATTAGTTCAAGGCCAGTGAGTTAAGCACTCAGTGAGTTCTAAGCCAGGCTGAGCTAGTGTGAGGCCCTGTCTCAGGAAAGAGAGGGTGGGAGGACCTGGAGACCCAGAGGTAGAGTGCTTGCTTGCCTACCATGCGTGAGGTATGAGTTCAATATCCAGCACAGGAAAAAGAAGCAAAAGAGGAACAAAACAGTAGAAAGAAGTGAGGTACTGGGGACAAACCACACTATCCCAGCTCTCAAGAGGATGACAGTTTCAAGACAAGCCAAGTTACAGAGAGATTCCTCAGAATAAAGAAGAAAAAGAAAACACCTATCTACAGAACTGAGGGAAGTATCTGCAGTTCACATATGTGATAAAGTAATCAGATGACACCATCCCAGGGAAGAGGGCAAGAGTCTGAATAGACATTTCTCCAAAGATACACGATGACAACAGTGACCTAGGAAGCTGAACATCATTACTTCAGGAAACAAGTCAACCCACACCCAGAAGCTACTTCATACCCACTCTCGGTTCCAAAACCAGACAACAGCAAGAATTGTCAAGACAATGGAGAAACCTGAACCTCATCACTGCCTGGGTTAGTAATAAAATGGTGTTCCCATCCCTGGAAAACATCTGGCCATTTTCACAAGGCTAAATGGAAAGTTACAATATGACTCAGCAATTTTACTCCTAAATCTGTCCAAGATAAATTCCTACACAAATAAATGCTTGTATGTGACTGTTCATGGCCACATAATTCCTAAGAGTCACGACCAAAAGATTCACCAAATGATGACTGGATATAGAAAATGTAGCACATCCATGTAAAGGAATATTAGTAAATAAGGAAAAGAAGTACTGGTAAAGACGACAATACAGAAGCTGCTGAATGTAAGAATGCAGACACAAAAGGATACAGGTTATGATGTTATGTCTGTGAAATGTCTAGTCTGGGCAACCCACAGAGACAGAAAGTAGATGAGCCCTAGGGCTGAGATTGGGGTTGGAAGAGGGGAATTGGAATATTATAATAGCTATACTCCCACAAGTATACTAAGTGACTACTTGAAACGATCTATAGTATATGTGTGTTATATCATAGTAAAGCTGCTTTTACAAGAGAACAATGAGGGGGTGCCCAGACTCAAGGTCCACCCATCACAATGAACTACTTTTGTTTGTTCTTCAAGACAGTGTTTCTCTGTGTATAGCCTCACCCAGGCTCCTGGGCGTGCAGTCTCAAGTATGGGAGATGCTTCACCTCAACAAGAAGGCTCATGCTATAGCTGTGTTAAAGCAGTGGAAACCCAGTAACAAGATTAACAGTGGCTAGTCAGCCTGTAGCCACTCATTAGAAAGCTCCTCTAAACAGCCACATTCATTCAAACAGACCCTTTTACCAGTCATGTGTGTTTTTCTGCCATGCTCTCCTGAGTTGCAGAAATGCAGTTGGAGCAGACCCAAGGGAAGTCATTAAAAAGTGTGTTGGAGCCGGGCGTTGGTGGCGCACGCCTTTAATCCCAGCACTCGGGAGGCAGAGGCAGGCAGATCTCTGAGTTCGAGGCCAGCCTGGTCTACAGAGCGAGTTCCAGGATAGCCTCTAAAACAATACAGAGAAACCCTGTCTTGAAAAATCAAAAAAAAAAAAAAAAAAAGTGTGTTGGGACTCTAGCTGCCATCTTGCATCCCTGCGTGTGTTTCTTATCTCAGCTGGTCTGCCCCAGACCTCTGAGCGTGAACCCCAGTCCCGGCGCGGCCCCATTTCCACTCCGACAAGATGAAAGAAACGATCATGAACCAGGAAAACCTGGCCAAGCTGCAGGCGCAAGTGCGCATTGGTGGGAAAGGAACCGCTCGCGGCAAGAAGAAGGTGGTTCACAGGACGGCCACAGCAGACGATAGAAAGCTGCAGTTCTCCTTAAAGAAGTTAGGGGTGAACACGTCTCTGGTATTGAAGAGGTGAGCGTGTTTACAAACCAAGGGACAGTGATCCATTTTAACAACCCTAAAGTTCAGGCGTCTCTGGCAGCAAACACCTTCACCATTACTGGCCACGCTGAGACAAGGCAGCTGACAGAAATGCTTCCCAGCATCCTAAGCCAGCTTGGGGCAGACAGTCTGACTAGGTTAAGGAGACTGGCTGAAGCTCTGTCCAAACAATCTGTGGACAGAAAAGCACTGGAGAGGATGATTATGATGAAGCCCCAGATCTGGTGGAGAATTTTGATTAGGCTTCTAAGAACGAGGCAAACTCAATTGACTTCTAAAGAAGGTGACACTTGCAGAAGTCACAGCAGCTGCTATTTTGTACCATGACTGCTTTTTAAAATTCTTTTGTTTATGGATCTGATAAAATCTAGATCTCTAATATGTTTAAGCCCAAGCCCCCTGGACACTGCAGCTCTTTTCAGTTTTTGCTTAAACACAATTAATTCTTTGCAGCAAATTAAGCTGAAGAAGCCTGGGAATAAAGTTTGGAAAAGGGTTAATAAAATTATTTGCGCCGGGCAGTGGTGGCTCACGCCTTTAATTCCAGCACTCTGGAGGTAGAGGCAGGCGGATCTCTGTGAGTTCAAGGCCGGGCTGGACCGACAGCCTCCAAAACAATACAGAGAAACCCTGTCTCATAAAAACCAAAAATAAATAAATAAATAAAAATAAAATAAAATTATTTGCATAGTTTTAAAAAAAAGTGTGTTGGTAAGAAGCCATCCCCTGAAGCCCAAATATCTAGGATGACAGATAACTATGAAGTGTCACCCAGGCAGGTCTCAGTGTTTGTGCTTTGATTCATCATGTCAATGACAGCACCTACATCATAGCCTGGTCCCAAATATTAAGTGATTTGTGAGGTATACTAGGTAAACAAAACAGTTACTGGGCCCAGTGTAAGCCTTCATCTACTGCTTTTCACCTTAAAATACCACAGGTCCTGACCTAGCATCTGGTCCAGCAGCAGAATGCTCACCCAGTGTGCATGTGTGAGAAATGCCCCCACACACACACGGTTCTGCAATACAGTGAGCTGACAACACAGTTCCTTTCCTTCCACTCTTTCCAGCACAGTTACAAGGAGCAAAAGATCCCTGGGGAAGGCACTACCCAGAGCAAAGTGGACCCAGAGGGGCTCCCTTACAAGCTCTCATCACCAGAATCCCCTCCAGACAGTCTAGGGAGAACTGGCTTAAGGGGTGTTCATGTGGTTACCCTGTGCACTTGCTGTCTGGAATACTGCAAAGTTCTAACCCTGAGGAACCTCTTCTTCGTATGCAGTCAGAATTCACCTTAGTCAGACTGCTGGCCTTTTGGGTGGTAAAGGATGAGACACAGACCTCGAAAGCTTAACTGAAGCTGGGCATGTTGGAGTGAGCCCGTAATCCTAGCTACTTGGGAGGCTGAGTCAGGGAATTGTGAGTTCTAAGTCAATCTGAACTACATAATGAGACCCTGTCTTTAAAGAAAAAAAAAAAAAAAAAAGGATGGAAGGAAGAGGAGAGGAGGAGGGAGGGAGAATAGGAGGTCAGTTGTTACATGAAAATATATTTTCTCAATAACCACTTTTCATTTTAAAGCAACCTGATTCAAAGTCATATACTTCAATCGTGAATGGTATAGATTTCCCAGACCTGGCCATCATTTTTACCATTTTTCTACATCTTGGTGCTTCTCAGCAGCAGCTGTTACAACACTGACAGGCACTGTGTGTGAAGTCATGAAGAGGCAGGAAGCAGACATCACCCTTACCCAGGGATTCCCCATTCCAACTCTTGAGGCAGAAATTCCCTGGAGTAACAGAAAAGGTGACTTCCTCTTGATTTGATGTTAGAAGAACAATGGCCTCAGTCAGCAATCTGTAAAATGTGATGAAATGCATTGACATTATTGATAGCTGAAAATCAGCTATAACATTACTGGTATTCAGATCCTGACTCTGAACAGCCTGGGTTTAGAAAACTTCCTCCAAAAGTCTGCCGTTTTCCTTTCTTTCTTTCTCTCTTTCTTTCTTTTTTTCTCTTTTGGTTTTTCGAGACAGGGTTTCTCTGTGGCTTTGGAGGCGGTCCTGGAACTAGCTCTGTAGCCCAGCCTGCCTTCTTTCTTATTGCACTGTTTTTAAATTCTACCCTCCTTTGAAGGCCCACTAAGAAGGCTTAGTAATCAAGGGCATGTGAGATGGCAGTGTTACCTTAGGAAAACCCGCAGAAGCTGCATGTGGGCAGGACGTGGTTCCATGCTGGAAAGGGAGACAGCAGAAGATGGAGCTGCTCAAAAACAGCTGAGGTTCACTTAGCTAGAGCCCCATGTGGTGGTTTAAACTGAGAGGCCCCAGAAGTCTCGGGTGTCTGAGTACTTTGTCCCAATTGTTAGAACTGTTTGGGAAGAATTAGGAAGTGTGGTCTTCTCAGAGGATATGACAATGGAGGTGGGCTATGAGGCTTCAAAAGACAGATGCCAGGGCTGGAGGGAATTTAGCACTTAAAAGCACTGACTGTTCTCCCAGAGAACCTGGGTTCAATTCCCAGCACCCACATGGCAGCTCACAGCTGTCTGTAACTCCAGTTCCAGGGTATCTGACACCTTCACACAGACATGCAGGCAGGCAAAACAAAATGCACATGAAATAAAAATAATTATTAAGAAAAATAAAGACAGCCGGGTGTTGTTGGCACATGACTTTAATCCCAGCACTTGGGAAGCAGAGGCAGGTGAATCTCTTGAGTTCTAGGACAGTCGAGACTACACAAACAAACCCTGTCTCAAAAAACAACAAAAGACAGGTGCCATTTGCAGTTGGTTCTCTTTGCCTCCTACTGATATATGAGATCTCAGCTGTTCTGTTGCCTCATGGACTCTAACCCTCAAAAACTGTAAGCCCAATTAAACATTCTTGTTTGTTTGTTTGAGGCAGGGTCCCTCTATGGAGTCCTGACTGTCATGGAATTTAACTCATTATTAAGACCATCCTAGCCTTGAACTCACAGAGATCCTCCTGCTTCTGCCTCTCAATACTGAGATTAAAGGTGAGCACTGCTATGCCCAGCTGAGCTTTCTTTGATTAAACTGCTTTGATTATGGTGTTTTGACACAAAAATTTTAAAGCAACTAATCCCACAACATAACAAACAGGTAGAGGTTCCCACCCAGCCTGCCGCCGGGATTGTCTGTTACTGTCCTAGACTATCTAATACCTGTTACTTCAAGGTTCTCCTGATACTCAGCTGTCCTTTTATTCTAGATCCCCTTTGGTTTGTTTTCTTCTTTTGGTTTTTCTGAGACAAGGTCTCTCTGTGTGTCCTAGGCTGGCCTGGAACTCTTCCTCAGCCTCCTGGGTGCTGGAGTCACAGGGGAGAGCCCCCATGCTTGGTTTAATTACGCTCCTCTTTACAAACTGATAACTGATGAGTCATCACTTAAGGTGAGCTCTACAGCTTGAGGCTTGCTTCTTGCTCACCCAGTGATCATGATACTGGCACTTTCATGTGCTCTCTGTGCACACTGAGGTCTTTGTCCATTTCTAGTTGGATTGCCTTTTTAAAATTGTATAATAGAGCCAGGTGGTGGTGGCACACACCTTTAATCCCAGCACTTGGGAGGCAGAGAGTTGAAGGCCAGTCTGGTCTGAAGAGTTAGTTCCAGGATGGTCAGGGCTAAACCCTGTCTCAAAAAAAAGTATAGTAGGTGTTTGAGAGACAGCTCAGCAGTTAAGAGCACTAGTTGATCTTGCAGAGGGCCAACACCCACACTGCTATCACAACCATCTGTAACTCCAGTTCCAGGCATCAACACCCTCTTCTGTCCTCTGAGGGGACCAGGCATGCATGTGGTGCATAAACACATGTGCAGACAAAACTCATATATATAAATGTTTTTAAAATAAAATTGCATTATAACAAAACAAAGAGAAACAGCAGGCTCTGCCATCCTTTTGAACTTGAGGTGCTACTAGATTAAAATGACATTCTTATAATTTATGTAGGCTTAGTTGCTAGCCCGATGCTAGACATCTTGATGCAGTGCATCTTGATGTCAGAATGTCAGGAACAACTATCAAGTTCATTTGGGAACTTCTCCCTTGTTTAAAGGGAGGTGTTACACGAATGCCAAATGAGTTTGTTCTGAGCCCAAGCCTTGCTATGTAGTTCAGGCTGAACTTGAGCTCACGATTCTTCCGCCTCAGCTTCCCCTGTGTTGGGACTCCAAATATTGTTTCTTTTGTGTTTATGGGGTCAAACCCAGAGATTTGTATGTGTTAGGTATGTGTTCTGTCTCTGTGTTATACCCAAGACCACAAGATACCAAATAAGTTGGTATAAAACATGAATATCCAAGTCAAAAAGGAGGAAAAGTGTGAGACAAGGTAGCCCATGCCTACAGTACTAGCACACGAAAGCAGGGGCAGGAGGACTTTTAAATTCAAGGCCCACCTCAAGTGTGAGACTGTCTCAAAAGTGTGTAAAAAGGCAACAATTTTACCTATGAGGGTTCCAAAAATTGTAAAGATTTATTACGTCTTCTATTTAGAAGAACTCCTGCACTTCTGGTGAGAATATGAGGTGGCAAACTATTCAGACGACAACTGAGCTGTCAGAATACAAGGGGATTCCAAGTGTGTTTCAGCCTCTGACCAACTGACTCCATTTTTAGGGTTCTGTGGGGCAGCCTGTACCATGGCCCTAAGGATCCCCTCTTCCCTTTCCTTGGCTCTTTGCCCCTCCCCTTGAGTGTGAGCTCTCATTTCAGAGAGAAAATCAAAGGCTACGAGGCTATGAGGTAACAGCTGGGACATGAGTGGGAAAGGCCTGAGGCTTCTGTTTTGGAGCTCTCTCTCATCAGCACTGAGCACTGGCATTTATGAGGACCCTCAAGTAGCAACCTCCATGTCTGAGGATGGATCTTCTGAGCTCCTGCAGCCAAACTAGTGAGCCTTCGGGTGACACTGTGGCCCTGGTGGTACCTGTCTCCCAACTCAGGAGAGACCTTGACCCAGGGACACACAGATAAGGTCCAGATATCCCGACAGTAATAAATCCTGACCTATGAAGGCTCTACATTTGGGGAAAATTTGTTCCACAGCAATAGGTAACATACTATTCTGTTTTCAGAACAGATACTATTCGGCATTGTTTCTGACAGCAAAAATGGGGAAGCAACCTAAATGTTCCCCTGTAAGGTAATCAGCAGGAAATTATAGCTCAGATACATAATGCAAAAAAAAAAGGGCAATTACTCAAAATAATTTAGTGAACTGACACGGGAAGTTCCTTACAATAACTTAAATTTCAAAGGCAAGTTTAGGGCCAGAAAGATGGCTCAGGTTGCTTACCAAACCTGGGACCTGAGTTCCATCCCTAGGACCCTGTGGTAGAAGGAGAAAACGGATCCCGGCAAGCTGCCCTCTCACCTCCACACATGTTCAGCAGCACGTGCATTCACACACGCTGGGGCTGGGGGAGGGAGGATATGGGCTGTAGGGAATGTCACCAGATTACCAGCGGAGAGCTACAGAGGTGGCAGAAGAGCAAGTCTCACGGTCCCTTTGTCATTCTTTGGCGTATTTTCATGTGTTGCAATTAACAAGAATTCCTTTTGTAATTTAAAAAAGCAGTAACATAAAATACACTGTGCTCCAGAGTCATGTTAATTAATAGTCAATGCTGCAACTGAACTGAATCATTAAACATCCTTTCCCTGACAAACGTGGCCCACTCATTACCTAGAAAAACGTTGAAATAAGAAAATCAATTTGCATAAGAATGTTCAAATTCCCTCAAGCTGTGTGTTCCAAGGCTCAAACAGAAGCTGCATAGGTGTGAAGCATTATAATAGATTTCCCTTTTTGGCTGGAGCTCAAAGTGGGAAGCCACGGGTGGGGTATTTCAGAGTTCCTGCTGCCTTGCTTCCTTTAAGCAGTTGTCACCTGTCTCCCTCAAAGCTTCCACTTGACAATGTCAGTGATTGCTCTAATGGTAAGAAAGTTCTAGGAGAATATGGGAGCAAGAGAGGGCAGCGCAGTGAGTGTGACCAAAGTACACCGTGCACAGCATGAAATGTCATGCAGAAAGCCAGTGTTTTTTGTGCTGACTTAAAAAGCATCTTAAAAAGGAAAGAAAAGCTCCAGGGTGGACCGTTCACTGCCTGAGGACGCTGTGTTCAGAAGAGAAAGGGGCATCAGGAGACCCATTACCTTGGTTTAATCATCAGGATATTGGTGCACAGGCTCTTTTCAAAGAGAATTTTCAAGGGCTGGCTGTCTTGGAAATACACATTGTGAGTTCTTTTAATACCTTAAAGAGAACAAAGCAACCTCCTAATAACTGTAAGTGCAAAATGAGCAGGCTTTAAATGCCTGCCTTTCACAGCTAAATTAAAGCAATAAAATTAATGTTTCCTGTGTGGCAGGTGCATACAGCCTGCAGTGGAGTACGGCCCTAATGAAATGTTCTGTTGCCCCCTAGTGAACAGGGAGCAACATGTCACAGCCTCTGAGCAAACTGAACCAGGTATCACCCATCCCAAGGGTCTCAAACTCCATGGGTAGCCAACTCCTGATCCTCCTGCCTCTACTTTTCAAGTACTGGGATTACATACCGGCATGTACCATCACCCTCATGTACTGGAAATCAAACCCAGGATTTCTTGCAAGATAGGCAAGCACTCTGCAAACTTAACCACATCTCTAGCCCCTGAAAAGAAACTCATTAAATGTGTGTGGCACATCCCAGCACTCGGGAGGCAGAGGCAGGCGGATCACTGTGAGTTCGAGACCAGCCTGGTCTACCGAGCGAGTTCCAGGACAGCCTCCAAAGCCACAGGGAAACCCTGTCTCGAAAAACCAAAAAAAAAAAAAAAATGTGTGTGGCACAGTAACTGGTACTACAGGTCATAGATCTGCAACACTCTTTTTGAATATTTTACTCAGGACTAGTCTTTATAGGAACTGAACCAGACTTCAGTTCCCAGCATCCTCTTTATCTTACAACTGCTTGTAACTCTGATTCCGGTGTGTCTAGCACCTTCTTCTGGCCTCTGAGAGCACCAGGCCCACAGGTGGCACATAGATATACATGCAGAGCACACACATGCAAGCAACAGTCATACACATATAATAAAAATTAAAATGTGTTTCTGATTTGGAAGGATTTCTTAAGTTGAGTGTCCCTAATCTGAAAATCAGATTTTGGGGGCTTTTAGATTAAAACTTTCAGATTAGGGTGCTCTGTGTGTCAAGACACTAGTATGCATTTTTCATACATTCTCATCCTCACTGCAGTCCTTCTGGGGAGGGAGGGACTTAAGTTCAGAAGAAGAAACAGCAGGTTGGTAAGGCTAAGTGAATTTTCAAGGCTACAGTGTTATAACAAATACAAAACCCATGATGATAAGGGTGGCTTTGAGCTGACTTTCTATAAGCTAGATGTTGCAACATGATGCTTCAGTACAAGTCACAAGACCTAGCCAGGACCAGAGAGACAGCTCAGCCAGCTACCAAATATGATGGCTTTAGTTTGAACCACACTAAAATTACACACACACACACACACACACACACACACACACACACACACACATTTTTTTTACAAAGGTTTAAAACTTATTTTAAAAATGCCAGGCATGGTCGACACACCTTTAATCTCAGCAAGCATTCGGGAGTCAGAGGCAGGCAGATCTCTGTGAATTCAAGGCCAGCTTGGACTACAGAATGAGTTCCTGATGAGCCAGAGCTTGTTAGGCCTCATACATAGGTAGATAGGTAGGTAGGTAGGTAGGTAGGTAGGTAGGTAGGTAGGTAGGTAGATATAAAACCAGACACATTTCTCAGCTTACATGTTTGACAAAATTCCTTGTTGTTTGTGTTTGTTTTACTGAATAACAAGAAAGACTCACTGACTGAGATGATTTTAACAACAGCCATGGCTGACTGGAAACTCACTATGTAGATATGTGGACCAGACTGGACTCAAACATTAGTAACCCTGCCTTTGCTTCACAGTGCTAAGTGTGCACCACTGCACCCAGCAATTATCAACGTAATAAATACGCACATCTGTGAATTATCAGGTCTTCTTAATTTGGCGTCATAACAAATCACTCTGAAATTGAGTTCCTTGTAACAGTAGACACCTGTTATTTCTCATGATTTTACTGAGCAATTCTTTTTTTTTTTTTTTTTTTTTTTGGTTTTTTGAGACAGGGTTTCTCCGTGGCTTTGGAGGCTGTCCTGGAACTCCCTCTGTAGACCAGGCTGGCCTGGAACTCACAGAGATCCGCCTGCCTCTGGCTCCCAAGTGCTGGGATTAAAGGCGTGCACCACCAACGCCCAGCTCACATGGTCTTTTCTACATGGTCCATTCCACAAGTCTATCTCTGACTTGTTCTCCTGCTGGTAGAGAAACTGTGAGGTAGCATTGAAGCTGACAGGTCTAGGCTGGGAACCTATGCAAACCGCTGTTGCTATTAAAGTGAGACTGTGACTAGCTGAGGCTGGAGAGATAGCTCCATGGTTTAGAGCATTGGCTGCTCTCCCAGAGGACCTGGGCTGAAGTCCCAGCACCCATATGGTGGAAATCCAATCCATAACTCTAGTTTCAGATGGCCTGACACCTCTTCTGGCCTCCTCAGGCATTGCATACATATGGTACACTATGCACGCAAAACACCCATATACATTTAAAAACGGAAGAAGACTAAGGTTCAAAGTGAGGAAACACTCCAGCTTTTGTAGAGAACCACAGAGGGAAGATCTTAGGAACTTGAACTAGCAATGCAGGAGAAGCTGGGATGTAAACTGAGGTTATAAAGGACCTACTAAGCTTGCTTAGGAAATATTAAATTACACAGAGTAGGACTTAGCTAAAGGAGTGCTCAAGGATGAGCAGTACTGAGCATGCTCTGTAGAAACTGCAGAAAGCAAACACATAACTGGTGTAGGTCTGCTGAGTATATGTTTCTGTTAAGATGTGTTTACTAGCCGGGCCATGGTGGTGCACACCTTTAATCTGTACTCAGGAGGCAGAGGCAGGTGAATCTCTGTGAGTTCCAGGACAGCCTGGGCTACAGAGAGAAACCCTGTCTCGAAAACAAAGCAAACAAAATGATGTGCCCACTAAGATTGCCTTCATTTAGCCCTATTCCCATAACAAAGTGCAGAGCTGGCCATTAGACCCATTCCCATATCAAGGAGCATGACTCTATAGTGCCGTTCAAAGTTGGCAGCGCTGGGTCAGGGTCGCCATTAAGTCCAAGTCCTGGTCCATTATTAAGTCCAGGCTCTCTTAGCAGAAATAGTATATAATTCTTTCCAGCCAGGCTTGATGACCTTGGTGAACAACTTTCCTGGAAAAGCAGCCCTGCTGTACTTCAGGATAATTATCATGACATTTTACATTGTAAATCTAAATCTCTCTATTTGTCCAAACAGCTAAACCTTGGAATTTCTGTCTCTGTGAAACTTGTTTAATTGTGCAAAGTGTTATCGAGGCCATGAAACTATGGAGGTTAATGGAACTTTTGTTCAGGACTGGTTCCCTTTTGTGCATTAGACAGAACCGTCACCTGCTATTAAGTGTTTCCTTTATTAATCTCTAAGGGCTGGCACAATTTCTCAGTGGGAAGGCAGAGAACACATCAGATAAAATCTGTGTTCTCAGATCTTTTTTTAATTTTAAAAAAAGACTTATTATTTATAGGTTGTGTGCATACCCACGTAGGTACCTAAGGAGGTTAGAAGAGGGTATTCGATGCCCTGGAGCTGGAGTTACAGGAGCTTGTGCTGCCCAGTGTGGGAGCAGGGAAATGAACTCTAGTCTACTGAAATAACAGCAAATGCCACTCTTAACCACTCCAATCCTTACAGTTTTTCAATATTTACTTCTGCTTGTGTGTGTGTGGGGGGGTGTTCATGTGTCATGGCAAGTGTGTGGAGATCAAGTGACAAGTTTAGAGTCAGTTCAGTCCCTCTACCGTGTACGTTCCAGGTTCTCAGGTCATCAGGCTTGGCAGCAAGAGTCTTTACTGGCTAAGCCATCTTGCTGGCCCTTCAGACCTTAAGAAGCTAACAGGGTTTATTTTGTTTGAACTATAAAACAGCAGGCTGTGTGGAGCTGAACATACATCCTAGGAAAAACTCCAGGACTCTTGGTCCCTGGACAATGGTATAGGCTGTTTGAAGGGCACTGGCTTTTCTCTGGGTAAAATGAGGAAATATTTCAAAGTTTTGACCACTGGAATGATATCATCTGACTCTTGTGTGTGTGTGTGTGTAATAGGGTTTTGATATGTAGCCTCGGTTTTCCTCGTGCTCATTCTGGAGGCCAGGCTAGCATCAAACTGAAGATCCTTCTGTTTCAGCCTCGTGAGGGCTAGACTTAGCGGTGTGTACCACTGTTCTACCACTACACTCAACTGTATGAGCCCTGAATCCCTGGAATTGGAACTCATTACATAGATCAGGCTGACCTGCAGAGCTCACTGCCTGGGGATTTTTGACTCACAGAGCTCCAATGCCTCTGCCTTCCGAGAGCTGGCATTAGAGACAGACCACCAAGGCCTGCCTCACCTGACCCATTTTCAAGAAAGTGCTGGGTCTGCTGTTTTGGGAAAACACTCAGCTCGAAAGTTGACAAATCTCCCTGCTGTAAAAATACTTCTGTGTCACTTATGCTGAGGTAAGTCATGGTTCACATGATGGGAATCAGGAAGGAATCCTCCATGGAAGCAGCTGTTGCAGTTGTCGGGAGGTGTGCTTTAGAAATCACCTATGTGAGCAGTGTGGTGGCACATGCCTTTAATCTCAGCACTTGGGAAGCAGAGACAGGTGGACCTCTGTGAGTTCGAGGTTAGCCTTGTCTAGAAAGTGAGTTCCAGGACAGCCAGGGATACACAGAAAAAAGAAGGGTGGGTGGGGGGACAGAGACAGAGACAGAGAGAAAAAGAGAAATCACCTGTGTACAGTTCAGAACTTCTCTCAGTGGCTCTGAGACTCTGAAGCAGTTATCGAAAGAGCCAGCATTACTACACGGCTGTTTCATCTGTGGAGCTTGTGCTTTCAAAGGCAGTGACAGCTTCATAGGTGATCAGTATGTCAGTGGTTTCTAACCAATTTGAAGTCATTAGCATACCTTCAGGTTACCTTGCAACAAAACCCTAAGACTCCAGTCTCTACTTTCACAAGTGTGTGTGTCTGAATCAGGGCTGTGTTTCTCTGGACCCACTGAGCCCTTTCATAAGCCCCTTTCTGTGTCTCTTGAGCTGGCATAGAACTTATGTGAAGAGCAAATTCTCCAGGGACACTGAAGAATTCGTGCTGAGCAACTCTGTGGCCAGTGCAGAAGGGAAAGAGGATTGGGAGAAGCCAACAGGGGAACTGAATCAGTCTTTCCCCTTTCAGCACATGTCTGGTAACCGCTGTCCTGGAGGCTGCTTATTATTAGAGTGAAGGTGACTCGTCCTATGTGGCAGCTCAAGTATTGGCAATTGCTTTCTTTTTTTTTTTTTTTTTTTTTTTTTTTGGTTTTTCGAGACAGGGTTTCCCTGTGGCTTTGGAGGCTGTCCTCGAACTCGCTCGGTAGACCAGGCTGGTCTCGAACTCACAGTGATCCGCCTGCCTCTGCCTCCCGAGTGCTGGGATTAAAGGCGTGCGCCACCAATGCCCGGCGGCAATTGCTTTCTACTAACAGAGCTAAACTGAATTCACTAACTCTTAATTTTTCCTCAAAGTCCCAACCTGTACTTCCAGAAGCTAACTGACTATCAGGTGACTTTTCTCAACTGAACTGGAACAGGTTTCTCTACCATCTGATTAGCACAAAGTTGCATAATCTGCAAATCCTGGCAGCCTTGGATACAACTAGCCAAAGACTGGAGCATCATCCATGGCCCATGGCCCCAACTCTTCCAGCTCCAGGACTCCAGCATAAACCTGTACAACAGAAAGTGGTCCAGCTATGTCAGTTGGCCAAGTGGATGACAACACTACACCCTGGTCACCTGGTAGAGTCCAGGCTGGTCTAGGAATAGCAAAGTCAAGCATTTTTTGTCAAGGGATGTACAAGGCAAAGTTTTGTTTTGGTTTTGGTTTTTTGAGACAGGGTTTCTCTGTGGCTTTAGAGGCTGTCCTGAAACTAGCTCTTGTAGACCAGCCTGGTCTTGAACTCAAAGAGATCCGCCTGCCTCTGCCTCCCGAGTGCTGGGATTAAAGGCATGCGCCACCAACGCCCGGCTACAAGGCAAAGTTTTAGGCAGCTCCTGATGTGGAAGAGCATCTAGTCCCTGCTGCTGGAGGAAATCACTGTTAGAAGCTTTGTTGTGGTGGGACTGCTAATTTATGCTGTGAATCAAACCCCGTGAAGGAAGAGAAAGAAAAAAAGACGAGGAGAAGGAAGGGAGGAAAGGAAGGAGACTGAGAAAAAAGACAAAGACAAGGTAAGGAGGAGAGGGAGCGAAGGAAGGAAAGAAGGAAGAAGGAAAAGAGGGGAGAGAAGGGAGGAGGAGGCACGAGAAACAGCAGCAGCTGGGGCAGCCTAGCCTGAACCATGCCTGCAGCAGAACGTCCAACTTTCACCAAAACCAACGTTACTGAGTGAACTGTCTGATTTCTCCCACTTCTGTTCTTTGTATCTTAAAGCATCCTATATAATAGAACCACCCTACAAAAATTATCTTAAGTGAGGCACTGGAGAGATAGCTCAGAGGTTAAGAGCACTGGCTGTTTTTCCAGAGGACCTGGGTTTAGTTCCCACCAACCACATGGTGGTTCACAATCATCTATGAGATCTGGTGCCCTCTTCTGGCCTGCAGGCATAATAAATAAATAAATAAATATTTTTAAAAAATTATCTTAAATGAATCAGTTTTGTTTTAATTTTGGCTTTTGTTTTAATACAGGGACTCAGGTGTTCCAGGATGGCCTGGAACTTGCTATGTAGCTAAGAATGCCCTTAGACTTCTGATCCCCTGCCTCTAAACTCCTCAAGTACTGGGACTGTAGACACACACCACTAAGCCCAGTACACAAATATTGCCTGGGAAGAGCTCATGTTTGAGACGCTTCAGACACTGAACAGCTGGCTCTCTAATTCACCTGGAAGGGGAGGAGGAGGAGGGTGCACTAGCAGTCATGGATGAGCAGCACACACTCTGCATCAGGCTCTGTGCCTGTCCCTGTGGGACCCACCGTCTCCTCACAGCAGCCAGTGGCATGAGGCAACGTCACCCCAGTATACACAGCAGACAGGGAAGGCTCCTGGAGCTTACGTCCTTTCACATAGCTAACAGGCAGTGGCACAGCATTAATTCACAGCTACACTCTGTGACATTCAATCTTACTGTCCTTTTAAGTCCTCTCTTTACATGGTTTGCTATGACACGGATTTAGAGTCAAAGAAGGGAGAAATAATGTTATACCATTCATATTTATAGAGAAAACTTAAGAACTATAAATACACTAAAATAAAAATATATGATTAAAAAATATATGATTAAGATGAATATATTTCAAAATTAAGATGGGATTCTAACAGTCCTATAAAGTGAATGGAAAGTTATCACCTTCCATAAGATTCCTGAGGACTTAGACCAATGTTACAGCTATGAATTTGTTTTTCTGAGACAGGATCTCGGTATAACTGAGTCTGAAACTAGCTTATAGTTAGCTGCACTGGCCTCTAACTCGTGACCCTATTGTGTCAGTCACCTCAGTGTGAGGTCCAGAAATGTGTGCTGTCACATCCAGCTAGAAAAAACAATTTAGATTCAATTGGACATTAGTGTAGGGGTTGTGTGTCCTGTGTGTGTGTGCGTGCGTGTGTAAGGCCAGAGAGCAGTCTCATTCACTCCTCATTCCTCAGGGCCTGTCTACCTTTTCCCCTAAGATGGAGCGTCACTGGTCTGAGGCTCACCAAGTAGTCGAGGCTGGCTGGCCAGCGAGCCCCAGGAATCTGCTTGTTCCTGCCTCTGCAGCACTGCAACTACAAGCATGTGTCATCATACCTAGATTGTTGTTTGTTTTTTTGAGAAAGGAGTTTCCCTGTGTAGCCTTGGCTGTCCGTAGACTAGGATGGTCTCAAACTCACAGAGATCTACCTGCCTCTGCCTCTGCCTCCCAAGTGCTGGGATTAAAGGTGTATGCCACCACAACCCAGCTAGATTTTTTTTTTTTTTTGGTTTTTCGAGACAGGGTTTCTCTGTATTGTTTTGGAGGCTGTCCTGAAACTCACTCTTTAGACCAGGCTGGCCTCGAACTCACAGAGATCCGGCTGCCTCTGCCTCCCGAGTGCTGGGATTAAAGGCGTGCGCCACCAACGCCCGGCTCCAGCTAGATTTTTTTAACATGGATTTTGAGGATCAAATGTGCTTGCAAGGTTGACTGATCCATCTCCCCACTTGGACATTTTAAAAATCTGCTTTGTTTTTCATTCTTGTGCCCAGAAGTCCTGAGGAAACAGCAGTGGCTACCTTACAGTACAACGAAGACAGGTGACACGCCTGTCATGCTCCACGCCTGCATATGCCTCCCTTCACAGTAAGTCTGTGTACTATATGCATAAAAATGCCAAAAGACACACATTTCCAGTGTCACCTACCATGCTTGCAGAAGAACTGGATGACGACTCTGCATTTATCCAATCTGCTGACTATTTTGCACTTCTCTACACTTCTTTCAAGGTAATTCAGACATCTAAAGATTGGCAGAATGGACTACAACACAAATAGGTTGTAAACATTAAACACATTCTTAGTACGGCTGTCCCATTAACTTTTTAAAGCCCAAAAGATGAAGTTGGTGAATTCATAAATGGCATTGGAATGATTAAGTATAGTACAGCTGTTATGCCCTACAAAACGAGTATTTCTCCCACGTAAGAGAAAATTAACTGTTTTTACCTTTATTGTCAATTTGCAATTTAAATTCATGGGTACGTCATTATTGCTCATTGTGGCTGAGGGTGACCACTGATAATGTTGAAAAAACAAAGACGAGAACAGGATATAGCCATATGTTGAATGACAGGAATTCACAGCTCTCAGAGCAAGCTGGAAAAAAATAAGTTATTTTAAAGAAAACTAACTTCTATTGAGTTAATCCTATTGTGAATATAATGCCACAAATATATTCAAATGAAACCAAGTGCACTGAGTTTACACATGGACACCTACATATATGTATCTATATTGAACATACATTTACAGTCTACAATCCTAAACGCTGAAGCTGTAAAACTGTAAATTTCCATAGTGACCGTAATATTAATGCATGAAAGGATGGAACAGCGACAGAAGAGAGCCCTGAGCAACTGTCCAAGGGGAAGAGCTAGCACTCAGTTCTGCCATCCTGGGAATTGGTGCCTACAACTATCAGGTTCTGAAATTTTAAGTGCTTGGGGTTATGCCCCCCACCCCTGCCCTTGGACTTGGCTCTTTTAAACATCTTCTCTTCCTTTACCATATGATCAATCACTTAACACTCTTTAACATTTATTTTGGCCTTCAAGCCGGGCGTTGGTGGCGCACGCCTTTAATCCCAGCACTCGGGAGGCAGAGGCAGGTGGATCTCTGTGAGTTCGAGACCAGGCTGGACTACAGAGTGAGTTCCAGGACAGCCTCCAAGACAATACAGAGAAACTCTGTCTCGAAAAAAAAAAAAAAAAAAAAAAAAAGACAGGTTCACTAAGTGCAAATTGGTCTCAGACTCATTATGTAGCTGGCCTGCTCTGCCTCTCTAGCACTGGGATTATAGGCCTGTGCCATGGTGCCTGGCTTTTTCACTGGACTTACTTACACCTTTCTCAGATGGGTCTAGCCACAGGTCATCACTCACTCGTGATAGAGTCTGTATTGCTTTCCCAAATACTATGGAGGAAAAGAAAGGTGCTGTTTATATTCTTTCTAGCAGTAAAGATAAGATACAGGACTACTTCCACATGCACAGGACTCAAAAACTAGAAAAGACAGGATTAACTGAACAACTTAATCATGCCGGTCAAATTCTTCAGTTGATTTCTTCAGTTGAGCTCTTTGTTACTGCCCTGTGGGTAAATTCCTAGAGGTGGAAATAGGTGCTTTTGGTATTGCAGACGACTCCTCACCCAAAGCACTAGTTAACTAGAAATTGCTGGCAACCATCCTACCCAAATTTCAAGCCTATTCTGTACCACCTACTTCAGTTCGGCTCTATCATTCATTCACTCTGAGCTTGATCTTGGGCAAAAGGTCAGAAAGTAACTGGTTTACCACTCCTTTTGATTCATGAGTTTATAATGATTATAACAACACTCATCATCTTGGCCTCCAGGATGTTCATGTTAGATCATAACGATCTCAGCTTTGATGCTGTATCAAGTCCTAGCGAGGTACATCACCATGTGAGGAATCACCACAAGGGGGCCAAATGTATGTGATACCACAGAGCTGGAAAAAATGGTTGAAATCCCCTCCCCTCCCTCCCGAATATGTTGCAACAATTTCCCAATAAGTGGTTACATTTGACTTTTAGGTTTAGTGTGGGACAAATCTCAGGATACACCTGGGAGTCACTCAGCTGATCAACACAGCATTTTATATACTAGTTTACCATAGGGAATACTCTATAATACCCTTTACATACACAGTAAGAACGCAATAAATCTGCAGTGGTATAAGATTCAACAAAATTATTTCTCCCCAATTTCCATGCTAATGCTTTCATTCACTTTTTGGGGGGTTCTCCCACCCTCTGTAGGGGGATGGAACCTAGCGTCTCGTATATGCCAGGCAAGCTGTCTATCCATGAACCCAGTCCCGAGCCCTGTCATTCCCTTTTTTGTTTTTCGCGGCAGGGTTTCTCTGTGGCTTTGGAGGCTGTCCTGGAACTAGCTGTTGTAGACCAGGCTGGTCTCGAACTCACAGAGATCCTCCTGTCTCTGCCTCCCGAATGTTGGAATTAAAGGCGTACGCCACCACCGCCCGGCGGTCATTCCCTTTTATAAGTCTGTGTACAATATAGTTCCCCACATCGTCCTTCTAGTTACTGAGCTCAATTCATGTATTTCTATTTCATGCTCAAACTATCAACAGAGGTATTAATATTAGTCTCATTTTCAAACTGAGGAACCTGAACTTCAAAGTGACATAGTAGCTTGTGCTAGACCATACATTAAAAGAAAAAAAATTCTCCAGTAGAATCTCGAATAAAGATCGGGTTGTTTTCCCTGGGCTCAAAAATACTTTTGCTGGTCAAGTGTCATTTTCCTCTCAACTTCTCCCCCACATTAGCCCTCATCAAATCGAGCTTAAGGCCCAATGCTACAATTCATTTCACGGTCACCAAATTACTAGGCACAACCAAAGAAAAAGGGGCTGTCATGGTAGTCGAAGGCCAGCAGGGCCCTCCTGAGGGGCGCTGCAGTCAGGTTTTGCGTCCTCAGTCCTGGCAGAGCACGGCAGTGGGAGCGAAAGAAGACGACGGAGACCCTTCACAGACGTTAGGCTCTCCCTTTCCGAAGTAGCAAAGCAAGAATGGCCGCTCCACCTTTCACTTGACCGCCCGTCATTCCGCACTTCAGCATGGCTACCGGGAAAACAGGCAGGGCGGGCGGAAGCGCGCTCCCCCCCTCCGCCCCCCGCCGCCGCCGCAGGTACCCGGATGTTAGCCGCACTTTCTGTGATCTCAGCCCCTACCTTGCCCCACCCACGCTTACTTCCTCCCAGCACAGTTTCGCTTTCTGACGGGGAAAGGCCCTTGTGGGATCCCGTAGGACAGTCTCTCTCAAACTTCGCGTCTTATTGGTGGCGGAAGAAGTGGGCGGGTCCACCAAGGAGCCCGAGGAAGAGGGCGGCGGCGTTCGTGGTGACTGAACGAAGCCCGGTGACAGGATGGTGAGCACCGCGGCGGCGGCGGCTGTGGCGGCGGCGGGGACCCGGGTCGGGCCAGGATGCTGCGGCGTCGGGACGAGGACGATCCGGGAGGCTGGGGCGGGCGAGGCCGAGGCGCGAGCCTGGGAAGGCCGCGGAGGAGGGACGGGAGGAGCGCGGCTGGCCAAGGGTGCGGCCCGGCCTGGCGTCGCCCCTCGCCCCAGCGGCCAGAGGGCGTGCGAGGAGGACCCGGCCTCTCGTCCTGTCACGAGATCGGCTCGCTGCGGCCCGGGGAGGCCTCAGGCCGTCCGTGTGGTCGGACGTGCCTCTCCTGCTTCCCCGGGGCTTGCTGGGGACGGCCGGCCTCGGTGCAGAACGACAAGGGACCGCTGCACTGGCCACTCCGGGCCAGGACCCCAAAAGGGACCGCTTGTCTCCTGTGACTGCTGCGATCCCTTAGAACGAACTCGTGGGGATAGTTTGAAGTCTGAGGGCTTTAGCTTCCATAGTCTGTATCAGGCCTTTCCCCCAACCCCCCTTAGATTGCTGCCCCATGACCTTTGTGGTATAAAACCTGGGGAGCAGACACGTCCCTCTAATTAGACTTTTTAAGGCATTCTTTGCTCCCCAAAGTTTGTAGAGGGTCTCTGTCGAGCTTTGCTGATCATGCTGATGAAGGTTAAAGTGAAGGCACCTCTCTGGATGATGGGCACACGTTGCATTTTTTTTTTTTTTGCAGAGATAATTCTTGTTCAAACGGCCTTTGAAAGGGTGGTTTATAAGCGTTCCAAAGATGAGTGCTTAAACTCACCTGGTTTTTGCTTCTAAACAGACCCGAGTTTAAAGTGGACTAGTCAACTTATGGAAATTTGGAGACACTTTCAGGAAAGAAGAATTAGCTGCCATGATCCATGTTTCTGAAGTCGTTTTGGGAAGTGGAACACTTATGTTTAAGGGTCGTTGCCCTGCTATTCATCACGTTTCTTTTAAATATTTCTTTTTAGTTTGTGTGCGTGTGCCTGCATGAGTTTATGTACATCACGAAAGTACAGGTGCCACTGGAAGCCTGGAGTTACAGGCAAATGTGAGATGCCATGTGGGTACTGGGAACCAAATCCGGGTCCTTTGCAAGATCAGCAAGTGCTTTTAACTACTGAGTCATCTCTTGATGCCTAAGTCGGGTTATTACGATGTAGCCCGAGTTGGCCTGGAATTCAGAGATCTGCCTGCCTCTGTCTCCTGAGTGCTGGCCCCAAAGGAGGGTACCATCGCACCCAGCATGTGTTGGTTTTTAATTGTCTTAATCTTTCCTTGACATTTTCATCATTTGATTATGTACTTGTGTTAGTAATGTCTCTATAGCAAATAATAACTTCCCCTGGAGCATGGTTTTTCACTGCTAGAACCTCAAACATAAAAAAAATAAATAAATAAAAACCAGTATACTTCAGAGACAGCAAGACCCTAGGAACCAGCAAAGGATAGCCTTAACTGTTTTTGGTGAATTCTTCCGATTATAAATATCTAATCTTACAAAGAGTACACCGAATGAGACATAAAGGGACAGGAGGCAGTGTGGAAAGCAAGAAGAGAAAATGTAGAGTGACACTGGCAAGGCAAGTTTGCTGTGTGGGGGTGTTTGTCCTATGTCTGAAAGTAAAGTGAGTATTCTTTGGAATTATTTTCAGCACAGCTGATTTTTAACATTTTCTTCCATAACATTCAGAAATCATTAACAAAATTTGCATAGTTGGTATGTTTTTTCTTTTAACTTTTGTTGCTTTCTTTTAACATCAGTCATGTTTCACCCTTTTTTTTTTCATTCCCCTGTCTGCAATCAACTTCTTCATTCCACTAAGGCTGGGCACAGAGTAAGTCTCTTTTCTCCGCTCCTACTAACAATGGTGGTTGGGTGGCTGATAGCTGATCTCTCAAGTAGGAAGTGACCCAATCCCCATGCTTCATTTGGGTTGTTTCTTTTATGAATGTAACAAGACTGCTGTTTCCAGATTCTTTGCTGCCTCTCCTGTTTGTTTAACCTGATTTGTCATCATGAATTCAGGCAAGGGCACTTGTGACCTGTGTCATGTGTTTCTTATAGTTTGGTCACCAGCAGAAAATCATAGAATTCTGTCCTACTGTGGATCCTTGAAAGTTCCTGTGTGACCATTTAACCAGTAACAGTCCTTACATATTAGTAGTCAAAGATATTGATGGCACCTCATAGAATTGGTGTCTTCAGTCTTGATACAGTACTGTGTGTCACTAATGTTCTTTCTGGAACATTCTGACTGAACAGTTCATTTTTAGTCCCAGAGATTTTCAGCCTATTTTAGATATACACCCTCTCAGGAGTTCAGAGTTCTTTCTTTTAATATAGAAAATGTTTTTCAGCATCCCACAGTAGTTCATCAGTTCAGATCTGAAGGGATCCCCTCTAAAATGAAGACTGTTCTGTGTCAAGGTGCTTGTCTACTGATTGAGGGTGGATACTTTGTATCGGTTGTAGCTTTCACAGGTTTCCCCCAAAGTGCTCATTTTGTGACCACCCAGTTCTTCAGCTACTCTGTGTCCTGATAGCAGTTCCTTTTCTTTACAATCCTTTGACTTTTGTTGCTGGAGAATCAAGCTTGTTTTCATAATCATTCTCATTTCACACATTTTGGTTTTTGATTGGTTTTCAATTTAATTACTTTTTTAAAATTAGTTATTTTATGTGGATGTGTTTTGTCTGTATGTCTGTCTGTACACCACCTGTACGCCTGGTATGGCCAGAAGGGGTGTCAGATCCCTTGGAAGTGGAGTTACAGACAGTAGTGAGCCACCATGTTCTGGGAATCAAACCTGGATACTCTGGAAGCGCAGTCAGTGCTCTTAATCACTGAGCTCCTCTCCAGCTGCCAAATTAACTGTTTTAAATTAATTTAACATTATGGTGGCAAAAGTATCTTGTTAAATATGTAATGCTTTCTTTGATACTGTTCAGTGATAGCCATGTCTTGAAAAGCAGTTAGAATGTGTGCATTGATGAATGGAGCATCTGTGCCAGGAAAATCCTGTAAGCTTATACTAATCAACATGGAAAATCTCTTATGCTCTGTGTGTGGGAGGCACATGTGTTATCTTTAAATGAACTGTTAAACAATATTCTGTCAGTTTATTTTGTTCAGTCTTGAAATTTTTTAATTTAAAATTTCATAGGCTTCCCCCCCACACACACAAATGCCCCCTTTTTTTGGACAGGATTTCACTGTGTAGCTTTAGCTGATCTAGAACTTGCTACATAGACCAGGCTGGCCCTGAACTTACAGTGATCTGCCTGCTAAACTCCTCACTCAGTTATCTAGCTTTTTGTGTTACTTCTCTAATACACAAGTAATTGTGAAAGTGTTATTTTTTAAGTTAACAAGCTATACTTAGGGGGTGGAAGAAGCAGTTTTATTTAGGTAATATAAATATGACAGTGGGGTTTCTAGTGAAAATAGCAAAATTTATAAATAAGGTGCACATATGCGTCTGTTGAGACTCTAAAGCATAGGCCTTTGTTCCCTGTAACATACTGCTAAGAATTTGAATTAACAAAGTCAGTTAATTTGGGCTAATGTTCTCCAAAGAGTTCTTAGCGTTCACTCTAAAATTAACTTTTCCCTAGTAATTCATTTTTATATTTATATACATATATATATACACACACATATATATTTTGTGTGTATAATGTTTCATTTTGCAGCATTGGCTGGCCTCAAACTGGAACTTGCTTGCCATGTAGCCCAAGTTGGCTTTGAACTAGCAGTCTTCCTGTCTCAGTCAGTCCCCTGAATGCTGGATTTACAAACACGAACCACTGTACTCTAGATATTCTCTATCTCTCTCCCCTTTCTCTCTCCTTCCTTTCCTCTTTCTCCTTTTTGAGGCAAGGTCTCATTGTATTATCACTTTGTAGACCAGGTTGTCCTCAAACTGTCTCTGCCTCCTGATTGTTAGAATTAAAGGCATGTGCCACCACTACTCAGGCATATTCAGTTAAAAAACAAACAAACAAAACCAACCAAAACTCCTTTGCTTGCATGTATCTAATCAACACTAGCCAGTGCAGTACCTGTAAAGTTCAGAAGAGGGCATTAGATCCACGAGAACTGGAATTAGATGGTTCTGAGCTGCCTTGTGGGTACTGGGAACTGAACCTGGGACCTCAGCAAAAGCAGCCAGTGTTCTTTAGCATCTAAGCCATCTCTCTGGGGCCATGTCATTTTGTTTCTGATAATTTTCATTAACAATGTTTTTATTAGAGTTGCAGAAAATATTACTGTGTCATCAAATGCTATAGATTCCAGCAATAGATTGTTCAGTTTGCAGTTTTCATTCTATTCAGTATAATTTGTGTGTTTCTAAATCAATCCTTTTTACTTTTTCTGAGACAGTATCTCTGTGTGGCTGTGGCTAACCTAGAACTCACTATGTAGACTAGGCAGGTCTTGAACTTGCAGTGGTCTCTTGCCTCTGCCTACCTAGTGCTGGGATTTCAGGTGTGTGCTCTCACACCTGACTAGTGAATCATTTTAGAAAACTTGATTTAGGTAAATAAAAATAACACAACTTTTGATATCCAAGATAAGATTAGTATAGAACGTATTTGTTGACCCACGATAGGAACTATATTAGTAACTTCTGCTCTGTTGGGTTCTTGGAGTTTCTGACAAGTTTAAAGGGGGATTCATGGGAAAATCATGTTGTTTGCCATCATGTCTAATGCTGTGTTTGTTTCACTCTGACACCTGAAGTTGGTGTTGGTGTTAGGAGATCTGCACATTCCACACCGGTGTAACAGTCTGCCGGCTAAATTCAAAAAACTGCTGGTGCCAGGAAAAATCCAGCACATTCTCTGCACGGGAAACCTTTGCACCAAGGAGAGTTATGACTATCTCAAGACTCTGGCTGGTGATGTCCACATCGTAAGAGGAGACTTCGACGAGGTGCCATTTTCCTTTCTCTCATATCTGTGCCCCTTTCTGGCTGCTTTGCATAAACTTTATCCTTTAGACTTGAGTTTTTCCATTGTTATCCCTCCCACCTTGAAAAGTTACCCTAAGGCCTAGACAGTTTTGGTGGTAGAATACTTATCTAAGTATACACAATGCCTGGGTTCAGTCCTCAACATCACAGTTATTTGTCACCGAACTATAAAATTACAGGTGAAATATTCATTCGTTTATAGCCAGAAGCATTATGGATTTAGGCATTATCAGATTTGGGGACATTTGCACATATGTAATGAGATATTAGGGATAAGAGCCAGGTCTAAACAGCAATTCATTTTTGTTTCATTCTTACATACCTTATATGCATAGCCTGAAGATACAAAGTGAATTCCTGGTCAACTGGGTTTGTAAAACAAGATCCTGTTTGGAGGGGGAATAAAATTAAGAGTTCTTATGCCAGATGGTAGTGGTGCTTGACTTTAATCCCAGCACTCGGGAGGCAGAGGCAGGCAGATCTCTGTGAGTTCAGGCCAGCCTGGTCTACAGAGTGAGTTCCAGGACAGCCAAGACCACATGGTGAAATCCTGTCTCAAAAAACAAAACAAAAATAAAGAGTTCTTAAATTTCAGCTTTGCCCATTAGTTATTAAATAATGTGATTCTTGAAAGTTACTTTTCTTCTGACCCTCAATAAATATGTTGGAATTGAATAATTCACAATAAACATGATTCCAATATAAAGAAATTATTTTGTGCTCCTAGGAATCTTTTTTTTTAAAGATTTATTTATTTATTATGTATACAGTGTTCTGTGTTCTGTCTGCATGTATTCTTGCAGGTCAGAAGAGGGCACCAGATTTCATTATGGATGGCTGTGAGCCATCTTGTGATTGCTGGGAATTGAACTCAGGACCTCTGGAAGACCAGCCAGTGCTCTTAACCTCTGAGCCATCTCTCCAGGCCACTCCTAGGAATCTTAAGCTTTTCAAAAATTATTTAACTTGGCTAGTGCTTTCAAAGGGTTTAGGGCCATTGAGGTGGCTCTGGGTAAAGATGCTTACCACCAAGCCTGATTACCTGGTTTGATCCCCAGCACCCACATGGTTGAGGGAAAGAACTAACTTTTTTTTTTTTTTTTTTTTTTTTTTTTGTTTTTATGAGACAGGGTTTCTCTGTGTTGTTTTGGAGGCTGTTGGTCCAGCCTGGCCTCGAACTCACAGAGATCCGCCTGCCTCTGCCTCCCGAGTGCTGGGATTAAAAGTGTGCGCCACCACCGCCCGGCAAGAACTAACTCTTAAGTTGTCTTTTGGCCACATGTGTACAGCAGCACACATGGACACATGTACAGATGCATATACACACAAAATAAAAATTAAAAATCTCTCCAGGTGTTTGTGGCAGACCATTAGTCCCAGTACTTGGGAGGCAGAATCAGGTGGATCTCTGTGAGTTCGAGGCCAGCCTGGTCTACAGAGCGAGTGCCAGGACAGCCTCCAAAACAATATAGAGAAACCCTGTCTTGGGACAACAACAACAAAAAAACCCCCAAAAATTAAAAGTCTCAAAAACCACACAGTTTCTTTATATCAAACAGAATGCACATACAGTGTTCATATTTAGCAGACTTAAAAGAGATTTGGGGTAAACTGTGAAGGTGGCATGGTGGTGGAAGTCCAGGGAGATAAGGAAGAATAGCCTACCTGTTAGGTATTAAAAATAATTAAGACTTCTCTATTTGTGTTAAAGACAGTTTAATTAGCAAGGCTAAGTTTCATTTAGTTGCTAAATACACAAACTCTAGAACCATGTAACCAGGGTTTGGATCTCACCTCAACCACTTATTGGCATGTAACCTTGGACAAGTTGTTTCAGCTTTGTGCCTTAGTTTCCTCATCTATAAAGCCTGGGACATAATTTAAATAAACCCCAGCTTATAGGTCATGGGCCCTAAGTTATGAGAATCACAGGTTGAGGTGACAATTACTCTTTTTAATTGTCATTATAGTATTTGTGTGTGCATGCATGCACACGTGTGCTCCGGTGTGCACACGTGTGCTCCGGTGTGTGTGAGAACAGGACAGCAGCCTGTGCAGCCAATTCCCTGTGGGATCCAGGACAGACTCCAGGCTTGGGGCAAGCACCTTTACTAGCTGAGCCATTTCACCAGCCCAGGAACAGTTACTCTTTACAGCCCACCCTAGAGAATCCACATTCTACAGAAATTAACTCAATAAAGTGGTTGCTTGGCAGCTTCTAGTTTACATTATCAGAATTGGGTTTTAAAAACCATTGCAGTATTACAGGCTGAGGAGAAACCTTTTTTTTTTTTTTTTTTTTTTGGAGACAGGTTTCTCTGTGGCTTTGGAGGCTGTCCTGGAACTAGCTCTTGTAGACCAAGCTGGTCTCAAACTCACAGCACAGAGATCCACCTGCCTTTGCCTCCCCAGTGCTGGGATGATTAAAGGTATGCGCCACCACTGCCCAGCTGAGAAACTTTCTTGAATACGCTTGTTGTAGGGTGCTGTCTGAGACTGCACCTATATGAGACTGAATATTTAAACAAATTGAGTAAGTTTCTATCTGAAATGTCTGAAATGTGTATTTTCTTTATGTCTCTTTTTTATATTAGAATCTGAATTATCCAGAACAGAAGGTTGTGACTGTGGGGCAGTTCAAGATCGGTCTGATCCATGGACACCAAGTTATTCCATGGGGAGACATGGCTAGCTTAGCCCTGCTGCAGAGGCAGTTTGATGTGGACATTCTTATCTCAGGACACACACACAAATTTGAAGCATTTGAGCATGAAAATAAATTCTACATTAACCCAGGTTCCGCCACTGGGGCATATAATGCCTTAGAAACGTAAGTACCACAACTTAGCATTTAGAGCCTAAGAGAAGGTAGTAATTGCGTGTGTGACATTTCATAAGGAGAAATACAACATTTAAATAAGAGTCTGTGTGATGGCATACACTTCTAATCCCAGCACTCCAGAGGCAGGGGCAGGCATATATCTGAGTTCAAGGCCAGCTTGGTCTACATAGTGAAACCCTGTCTCAAAAAACGCACAGTAAAATAGGTAAATCTTTGTCAATGATCCCTTTTTACTATTCTTTTCTTTCTTTTTTGAGACAGTGTTTCTCTGTATAATAGCCTTGGCTGCCCTGGAACTCACTTTGTGTAAAGATCTTGCTGGCTTCAGACATGCAGAGACCACCTGCCTCTTGCCTCCCGAGTGCACCACAACCACCCAACTACTGTTGTTCTTTTCAATGTGTAGGTAACACAATCATACTTCTCTTGAGGTCAAGACCTTGAGTTGAAATTTACAGTGTTACTGCTTTAGTACAAAACACTAACACTGTTTATTTTCCTTCCAGAAATATTATTCCGTCATTTGTGCTGATGGATATCCAGGCTTCTACAGTGGTCACTTACGTCTATCAGCTTATTGGAGATGATGTCAAAGTAGAACGCATTGAGTACAAAAAATCTTAAAGCTAGGCTTGTCTTGATCATTTTCTTTTTTTTCCATTTCCTTGTTCAAGTCAATTAATTAAAAACTTAAGAGGCACACAGTTGTATCACTTTTATAATATTTGCACTAAGATGTCTTCTCTGTTTAATACATAGTTGCTGTAAGCTTCTTGTAAACTATAAGAATATACTTAGTTTGCAGTATATGGTTTCTTTGAAAGGAAGTCCATCATATAGTACAGGGCCATGTTTGAAAATTTTAACCTTGTAAATATCTTCCTACTTGGTAATTGGACTTCATTACAAAACTAGTGCATGAAGAGAAAGAATCCAGAATTTTTATGTATGTTTTCTCTTCTCTGGTAATAAATGTTTACCTTCCATTTAGACTTTCTTGAAAACCTGTGTTTAATTTAAAAACCACAGACTGGAAATCCCAGCACTCAAGAGATAGAGGCAGGTAGATCTCTTAAGAGCTGTATGGCAAGCCGGGCGTTGGTGGAGCACGCCTTTAATTCCTGCACTCAGAGGCCAGCCTGGTCTACAGATCTAGTTCCAGGACAGCTAGGACTGTTACACAGAGAAACCCTGTCTCAAAAAACACGAACCAAAAAAAAAAAAAAAAAAAAAAAAAACTCAGAGAGCTGGTTCAATTCCCAGTGGTGGCTCACCACTGTCTGTACCTCCATCCAGGAGTTACGAGTTACACCTTTACACAGACACACCGGCAGGCAAAACACCAATGCACATAAAATAAATTTTTAAAAATTCAGTTTTGTGCAAGTAAAATTTTAATTGTCTCTAGCTAGAAACAAGCATACATTACACATATATCATTGGTACACAGAAGCATATTGGATGAAGAAGGCTGCTGTAAATGTCTCAACAACCCAAATGACATACTGGTGACTAGCACTGTCATATACATGGCTCACAACTCTTCCTGTCCACCTCTGGCTCAGCATCTGGATGTTAGCTGCTGGCTGAGCTTGGTATGGAGACTGTCAGGTTGACCTGAGATGTGCCCGGCTCTTGAATGGACATGGACTGCATGCACTTATTCAGTAGCTCTTCCTCCTTTGTTTCTTCATCCATGCATGGTTGAGAATCTTCTAAAGACACTGAAGGGAAGACAAGCCTTTATAGTGTGTATTGGAAATATTTTTTTTATTATATGTGTATGGGTATTTTGCCTGCATGTATGGTGTGTGTGTGTGTGTGTGTGTGTGTGTGTGTGTGTGTGTTCACAGAAGAGGCATGCGATCTTCTGGAGTGGTGGGTGCTGTGAATTGCAGATCCTCTGGAAGAGCAACCAAACACCAAGCCTTCTCTCCAGCCTCATTTACTTATTTTTTGATTCAGGGTCTTTGTAGCTCTGGCTAACCTGTAAACTTGATATGTCAGACCAAACTGGTGTCTAACAGAGATCTACCTGCCTGTGCACACCAAGTGCTGGGATTAAAGGTGTGTGCCAACATACTAAGTTATTCTCCTACTTGCCCCAGCCTCTTTCTTTTTTTTTTTTTTTTTGGTTTTACAAGACAGGGTTTCTCGCCGGGCGTTGGTGGCTCACGCCTTTAATCCCAGCACTCGGGAGGCAGAGGCAGGCGGATCTCTGTGAGTTCGAGACCAGCCTGGACTACCAAGCGAGTTCCAGGACAGCCTCCAAAGCCACAGAGAAACCCTGTCTCGAAAAACCAAAAAAAAAAAAAAAAAAAAAAAAAACAAGACAGGGTTTCTCTGTATTGTTTTGGAGGCTGTCCTGGAATCGGCTCTGTAGACCAGGCTGGCCTCAAATTCACAGAGATCCGCCTGCCTCTGCCTCCCGAGTGCTGGGATTAAAGGCGTGCGCCACCACCGCCCGGCGCCTCTTTCTTACAGTAGTCACAGCATTATATTGTTACAGCTACTGCATAGCACACTTAGTAAACACTGTATTCCAATTGTTTTTCTTTGTTTTGTTTTAAGCCAGGGTTTCTCTGTAGATTTAGTTTGGAGTCTGTCCTGGAACTCACAGAGATCTGGATGCCTCTGCCTCCCAAGTGCTGGGATTAAAGGCATGTGCCACCACTACCCAGAAAATAGTGAATTCTTTTAGATGAAAGCATAAACTAGTTCACATTTAGTTGCTTTGGTTTCTGAGATAGGTGTCACTGTGTAGCTCACAATTTATGTAGACCAGGCTGCCCTGAAGCTCAAGAGATTTCCTGCTTCTGTGCTGGGGCCTGTGTCGTGTGCCACCATGGTTGCTTTTTACTTGAAATAACAGAGCTTATCGCACTTAACATTTTTAATCAAGACATAATCAAAATGACTACTTAGTGTATTTTAAACAAAGTATTCAGAAGTGTAAGTCAGACATGGTAATTCTGCCCACCTATAGTTCTAGTAGGTGGAGGCAGAAGGATCAGGAGTTCTAGGTCCACCTGGGCTACATGAGACCTTGTTTCAAGCACAAAAATCCTTTAACTCCATGTATATGTGTGTGTGCCTGCTTAATCCCACATTTACCTGGTAGCAAGAGCAGTCTGCCTTGTCTTTTAAACGTCTTCAGTGACTTAGATCTTGTTTTTGATGCATATCCAATTTTTAACCTGTGACAAAGGGGAATATTTCAATTGAAGACAGCATGGTGAACACTGTTGTGGAACTCAAAATAGGTTCTTTTTACTGCTGTTGGCATTACCAAATACCCTTCATTCCCCAGTCTCTTGTGATTTACTAACCCTGAAATGCAGCACTATTACCACATAGTGTGGATATTGAAGCTTCTCTTGTATTGTTGTAAGCTGCAGGTTTGTTTGTTTTTTGAGACCCAGTCTCATGTAGCCCAGGCTTGCCTCAAATTCACTTAGTAGACAGAGATGCCCTTACACTCCTGATCCTTCCAAGTACCGAGAGTGTAGACTTATTCCACCACACCTGTTGACAGCAGCTTCTTTCCTCCTCCCTCCTGGCTTTATAGTCCATCCCTCTTGGGGAGCACTGTCTCCCCTTTGCTGGAGCATCATGCTGCTTTTGGAGGCCTTGCATCATTTGGAAACTGAGTGAGAAGAGTAGTCTGTCTCTAGTTGATGCAGATTTTTTTTATTGTCTGAATGTGCATGTGTGGAGATCAGAGGGCAACTTCGGGGACCCTGTTTCCTCCTCCTATATTTTCTAGGGATCAAACACAGGTCATTGGGCTTGCATAGCAAATGCTTTTACCTGCTGAACCATCTTGCCCTGATCAAAAATGTTTGCAAACCCACAAATTATATTGTGATATACCTAGGTGTGGTGGCATAGCTGTACTTCTAGCATGTGGGAAGCTGAGGCGAGAGGGTTCCATGAGCTTGAGGCATACCTGGGCTATACATCCTGTTACAGAAACTCAAACTCCCTCAAGTGTCATAGCCCACGCATCTCAATGAAGAGGACATGGACTCCTCATCTGAGTTTAGCAGAGTGAACATATAGAAAATGGGAGCTTTTTTTTGTTTGTTTGTTTTTCGAGACAGGGTTTCTCAAGTTTCTCTGTATTGTTTTGGAGCCTGTCCTGGAACTCACTCTGTAGATCAGGCTGGCCTCGAACTCACAGAGATCCACCTGCCTCTGCCTCCCAAGTGCTGGGATTAAAGGTGTGAGCCACCAAAATGGGAGCTTTAATCTCACTCGGGAGGATCCCCTTCAGACAGAGCTAGGTACAGTTTTTCCTTCTTAAACTCAAGAAACCAACCCTTCCTTGTGTCTCAGTGGTCGCCACAGGGAATGGATGATCATTTCAGGTGTTGCAGCCGCAATGCTCAAAGATTCCTTTCTCTCCAGATGGTGTCGCCATGTAGTGCAGGGGGCATGCTGTTTCTGTGAGTAGCGAGAGCTGACTTGGCTCCTGTGATGAGTGAGGGCACCTGCACACAAATCATCTGTTAGGAGACTCACTTCTCATAAGAACCAACAAGAAACCAAGTGGGGGTGCACCTGCCTGGCTTTTGTGAGCCTTGACGGAGCACATGCACATATTGCCTCTTCATTAAGGTCCTCAGATAGCTGGAGTTGCAGACCTTAGCGATGCTGCACAGGTAGCGCTTCTGACCTGAGGTGAGTTCTGGATGCTGAAAGAAAGAATGAGGATCTACTGACTGCTGCAGTGCAGACGGATGAGATGGTACCTGAAAACAGCTCAGGTTACCTGGCCCCAGCTAAAGGCACATCTTTCCAGAAGCAGAGGGGTATCTGCTGCCTCTGTGGAGCACACTGAGTTAGTTTTCAGCCTACGTTTTTAAACATTACCTGTCTGTGTGGGTGTGTGCACATGTGCATGTGGCCCACCCGTCCCCTAGAGCTGGAGTAGAAGTGGTTGTGAACCTGAACGAGGGTACTAGGAACTGAACTCTGGTCCTCTGTAAGAGCAGTGTGACCTCTTAACCACTCAACATCTCCTCAGCCCCCCTTTTTTTTTTGAAACCGTTTCATACATCCCAGGCTGGTCCTGACCTTGATCTGTCATTGAGAATGACCCTCAATTTCTGATCCTCCTGCCTCCATCTGAAGACTTGGATGACAGTATCCCATACCAAGTTTTTTGTTTTTAATCTAATTTTGACTAAGTGTACTTCCTTTTTTTTTTTTTTTTTTTTTTTTTTTGGTTTTTTTGAGACAGGGTTTCTCTGTGGCTTTGGAGGCTGTCCTGGAACTCGCTCTGTAGACCAGGCTGGCCTCGAACTCACAGAGATCCGCCTGCCTCTGCCTCCCGCGTGCTGGGACTAAAGGCGTGCGCCACCAACGCCCGGCAGTGTGCTTCCTTTTTAAAAGAATTGTATCCTTCCTTAAGAGATGTGACTCAGCCAGGTGGTGGTGACACATGCCTTTAATCCCAGAACTCAGGAGGCAGAGGCAGGGGGATCTCTGAATTTAAAGAGAGTTCTAGAACACCCAAGGCTACACAGAGAAGCCCTGTCTCCCCCACCCCCAATACAGAACTCATTTATGCATGTATGTACACACACAGAATTTACATTATTGAATAAGTCATTAATCCAAAGAAGAGTAGGACTGTTGGTCAGAGGACTACCAGTCTACAGAAAGTTTTCCTAGCTTGAATTCACACAATCTATATTACTCTGGAAATAAGACTCAAAGAGGCTGTGTGAAATTTTGTTGGTTGGTAGTTGAGACAAGGTCTCTTGTAGCCCAAGGCTGGCCCCAATTCCCAATCTTCCCAAGTGCTAGGATTACAGCCATGAGCTACCACACCCTTAAGAGTTCATTTGCTTGTTTGAATAAGTTATCACCGTGTTACCCTGACTTGTCTTAACTCCTGAATTCAAGCCACCTTCCTGCCCCAACCTCCCCAGTAGCTGGGAATACAGGCACATGCCACCATGCTTAGCTCTCAAGGTGTGATCCTTAATGAAGAATAAAAATCAATAGTTGTAAAATCCTTATTGCTATTTTCTTTACCTGCATGCTTCTAATTTTGTAATCTTTGATCTCTCTGACTTTATTTTTATCCCTGGAGTATCTTGGTGATTGACTCTCAAGTACCATATATCTGGAAAGAACTCTTGACAGGGAATCTATAATCCTTGTAGTTATGATGAATTTATTCAACATATTTACTGACTGACTCTGTTTTGGGGTGAGTGTCTTATTTGTTGTTGAAACAGGGTTTTTCTATGTAGCCCTATCTGGCTTCAGACTTTCTATGCAGACCAGGCTGGCTTTAAACTCAGACAACTCTACTCTCCTCGTAGTGCTGGGATAACCCCTATGCTACCGTGCCCATTCTTTTTTTTTTTTTTTTTTTTGAGACAGGGTTTCATGCCCATTCTTTTTGAGGATGATTTTTTGTATGTTTGTTTTTCAAGATAGGGTTTCTCTGTGTAACAGCCTGAGCTGTAATGAAACTAGCTCTGTACACCATGCCTCTGCCTCCCGAGTGCTGGGATTAAAGGCATGTTCCACTACTGCCTGTCAACACTTTTTTTTTTAAGTTTTAGGGAAAATACAATAGGCCAGGTAAGCCAAAAATCCTGGCAGCTGCCAGGAGGAGGGAGATGGAGAGAAGTTCATTTCTTTCAAGTTAGGTATGGAGGTCAGAAAGTAGGGGAAAAGCCTAGCGTGCCAGGGAAAGCATGCTTAGGCTTTGGCCAGTATCCAAAAGAAAGAGCTAGAAGGAAAATGGAAGCAGACAGGCTTCACAGAGTTATATGACCACTGCTCTGCAGGAGGCTGCCTTCAAGGACTCCTTGACAGTATACTAGATAAACCATGTAGTCTGTTGAGCCTTAAGTTCTAAGTAGTATCTTCAATCCCAAGTCTGGATCTGTAGCTTGGTAGCAGATACTTGCTTAGTATTCACAAGGCCCTGGGTTTAATGGTCAGCATCCTTCAGAAACATTTCAGAGGCTGGCAACATGGCTCAGCAGGGAAAAGTGTGTCCTGCCAAGCCTGACAACCCGAGTCTGCTCCCCAGGTGGAAGGAGAGCACTGGTTCCCACAAGTCCTCCTCTGACCTCACACAGGACTACAGTAATTTTTTTTGACAACTGTAGTAAATTTTTATTTTAAATTCTGGTCTTACCTTTAGAAAAGATGAATCTGCCATTGACTTAGGGATATGAATTGTTTGGACTCGAGTAGTTTTCCATAACTCCTGAAGCTTGGCAATGTACACTCTGCGTCCCTCTTTGAATTTTTCTGCAGGCAAAGACATGCGACATTCTGAGGCAAAGCTCATTAATAGTATATACTTATGGCTACTTGTGATTATCCTGAAGCAGTTGTAGGAGTATTTTAAATCAGATAGTTAAAATTTGAAAAATGTAGGGGGCTGGAGAGATGGCTCAGAGGTTAAGAGCACTGGCTGCGAGCCGGGCATTGGTGGCGCATGCCTTTAATCCCAGCACTCGGGAAGCAGAGGCAGGCGGATCTCTGTGAGTTCGAGGCCAGGCTGGACCAACAGCCTCCAAAACAATACAGAGAAACCCTGTCTCGTAAAAACCATAAATAAATAAATAAATAAATAAATAAATAAATAAATAAATAAATAAATAAAAATTAACAAGTTTCCGTTGGTGGCGCAGCCTTTGATCCCAGCACTTGGGAGGCAGAGGCAGGTGGATCTCTGTGAGTTTGAAGCCAGCCTGGTCTCCAGAGTGAGTTCCAGGACAGCCTCCAAAACAATACAGAGAAACCCTGTCTCGAAAAACCAAACCAAAACCAAAAAAAAAAAAAAAAAAAAAAAACCAAAACAAAACAAAAAAAACCAACAACCAAACAAAAAAGAGTTTCAAGTTTACTGGGGATATTAAAGAATTTTTAGGGCTACAGTTTAGTAGCTGTCTAGCATGTACAGAGCCCCATGTTCAACAAGTCTGTTTTATATTTGTGCATGTGTGAGGCAGGGAGAGAACGGGCAAGGGTGATGAGTCAGAACAGCTCAAGAGAATCAGTTCACTCCTAGCCTGTGGGTTCTGGGGAACTGACACAGGTGGTCCATCATGCCAGCCCTTTGAGACTCCATTGTGTAGTTATCGACAGGCAGACTGGCTTCTCTGATCTGTAATCTACATGCATTACCTGCTTTATGCTGTCCACCAGTGCCTTTGGAATTCTGGTGATAAAAATGTCCAGCTGACCTGTTGGAAAAGAACACGAGGAATAGGCAATCAGGCAGCTTGGTGGCCAGTGAAGACAGCTCACATGCTCTTTTCTTTTCCTGTTTTCACCAATGTCTTGCAAATTTTCTCTCTCCTATTTGGCTACAAGAAGAATGCATCTAAGCTTTCTCTCAGTGAGCTGTCAGGCTTTCCATACTAAGATGAGAGTGAGTGTGTTTCGAGGGGATAGAACCCAGGACTCACAGAAGTTAGGAGAGTGTTCTACCACTGAGCCATATCCCCAGTTCCATTTGTACTTTGCTAGAAATGATTTTAAAGTTGGCCTCATTTTCATAGCTCACTAGTCTAATTCTTACAGCAATACCAAATGAGTAGCTTGGCTCCTGTACTATCCACAGGATATCTTTCTTGTTCTTTAATCATTTCAGTACTGAAAAGAGTAATTATTTTGTGCTGGAACCAGTAAATTTAACCAGTCATGTTTCCAGTCTTGTGTCTGCTCTTTCCTTTTCTCAAAAATTTAAACTGCTTCCTGCAGTTTCCCAGTAACTGAGTTCATTGAACCAGCACACCTCCAAGCATTGTCAAGAACAGGAAAGAACCTAACATCACATCTTTAAGAAGTCTTAGCACAGCCCGGCGTTGGTGGCCTTTAATTCCAGCACTGGGGAGGCAGAGGCAGGCAGATCTCTGTGAGTTCGAGACCATCCTCCTCTACAAGAGTTAGTTCCAGGACAGCCTCCAAAGCCACAGAGAAACCCTGTCTCGAAAAACAAACAAACAAAAGAAGTCTTAGCACTAAATATATAGTACAATAAAATGCACATTTAATATAAATACATATACATATTTAATAAACTTGGATTTAGCAAGAGCCATGGTTGTGGACCTAACTGGATCCCCCCAATCATTCTGCTGCTCTTGATTTTAAGGAAAGTAGCGTGACATCACAAGTCTACTGTCCTCACCATCTAGGAAACAGTTAAAACCCGTCTAGTCAGGAGTGATAGTCCACACCAGCCATCTCAGCACTCCGAAGAGGAACGGGAGGACGAGTAGTTCAAGGCCAGCCTGAGCTAAGTGAGTGTGTCTCAAGAAACCTACCCGCCAAGCGAGTCATGCTCAACTGCCTTCCTGGCCGGTAGCCCCATCCGATAAAGAGGCGGCCAATGTCGCAGGGACTGGCTTAGTGGCGGAGTTGTGGGTCTGGGGAGTGGTGGGTGGGGGCTGGGTTCGCAGGACCCTCTCCAGGGCTGATAGCCCGAGCGGGTGACAGTCGTGCTGTCCTGCTCCGAGGCCGCCTCGCAAGTCCTTCCCCCCGGCAGCCGAGTCCCGGCCTCACCGGGGCCCCTTCCTCTCTCTCTTGACTCCTCAGCAGGGGTCCGGGGCCTCACCCTTCGCCGCCTTCGGTCCTGGCCAACACAGGCAGCTCTGCGACCCCGGGACAACGGCTCGGCATCCCGTCGGCACGCGCGCGCCACGCCCGCTGAGGCCGCGGCCTCCGGCTCTACCCTCCGACCCTGCCCGAGCGGCCTCGGGACCGTGCCGAAGGCGACCCGAGACCCTGGAGCTAGACCCGGGGAGGAGGAGGCCTCAGGTGACCAGGCTTGTACGCCTAGGCGTCTCTCCGTGACAGGGACGCGTCAGGACCAGGCCACACAAGCACAAACACACACACGCACACACGCACGCGCGCTCCCTTAAAGCAAAAGGTGTCCCCCACCTCAGTATTCCAGACCCTCAGTGGATCTGCAAGTCTTAGGATGTCACCTTATGAGTCAAACCCAAGAACCAGGGCACCGGCCTCAAGGAGATGAGCGTTATTGCGATTCGCTGTCACCTAGGCAACCAGCTTCGCCTGTGGGCCAACCGACAACGGCCCGCAACTCTCTCTCTGCGCACGCGTGAAGCCGTGTCTCCGCCTCCTCTTTTTCCGCAAGACGCGTTTCTCAGGAATTTTGGCTCTTGGGACGCTCCTTAGTAAATACCAGTGACGAAGCAGTGATCTGGGTTGTGATTGGCTCGTACCGGTGTCCCCGGTACTGAGGGGCCTCGCGCGGAGGCTGAAGGCAGTGTGGCAGGCGACAGTGAGAAGCCGCAGAGCCAGCATGCCTCGGTATGCGCAGCTAGTTATGGGCCCCGCAGGCAGCGGGAAGGTGAGGCTCGAGGAGCTGCGGTCCGTGAGCGCTGGGGCCCCGGGGGTCCCTGGGTAATTCGCTTCCGCTCTCTGCTTGTACCTTGTTTTTGCTGGGGGAGTAAAGGCAGCTTTAGCAGTTACTGGGGGTGCGCGGGCAGGAGAGATGGCTGAGCGCTTTAGAGCTTGTTCTGCTCTTCCAGGGCACTCGAGTTCGGGTCCCGGCACCCACACAGAGCTGTAGGCCTCCACGAACAGTGCATTCATGTGCACGTACCCACACAACACACTTCTTTTTTTTTTTTTTTTTAAGTTTCTCTGTGTAGCTTTAGCTCCTGGAACTCACTCTGTAGACCAATCTGGTCTCGAACTCAGAGAGATCCGCCTGCCTCTGCCTCTGCCTCTCCAGTGCTGGGATTAAAGGCGTGCGCCACCACCATCCGGCACAACACTCACTTTTAAAATAATAATATTAACTGGATACTTTTGCTCCAGGAACTGCTCTGGCCGTTCCAAGTGTTTTCATAACCACTCCGTGAGCTTGGACCTGTATTCATTCTGTAGATTAAAGAAGACAAGATACAGAAAGGATAACTTTTCAGTCATACGGTTCTGGCCAGAGTTTGAGTCCGTCTTTGTACAGGCCCTCTGTCACACACCCAGAATAGGGTCTTGTTATTCACTGTTCCTCAGAAGTTTGAGCCTTGGGTTTCACCCCAGCACGCGAGGGCGGAGGTGCAGAGGGAGGGTGGTTGGGAGTGGTTGGGATATGGTTGGGATATGGTTGGGATATGGGCTTCTGCTACTTATCTCACTTGTGCACACTGCCCAAAGAGACCAGAAGAGGGTGTTGCTTGCAGAGAACCCAGGTCTTCTGCAACAACAATAATAAGTAAATTTCAAAATTAAGTTAACTAATTACTTATGGAGACACTCTTAACTGTGTAGTCCACCCTAGCCTTAAACTCATGGAAGTCCTGCCTTGACTTCCTTTGTTCTGGGATTATAGATAGATACCCCCATGTCTGGAAAAAATTACTCAGAATTTTGTAGTTACCTTCATATTATGGGAAATATACGCCGAGCGGTGGTGGCGCACACCTTTAATCCCAGCACTCGGGAGGCAGAGGCAGGCGGATCTCTGTGAGTTCGAGGCCAGCCTGGTCCACAGAGCGAGTTCCAGGGCAGCCTCCAAAATAATACAGAGAAACCCTGTCTTGAAAAACCAAAAAAAAAAAAAAACAAAAAGAAAGAGAGAGAGAAATATTATATTTGTTGTTGTTTTTTTAAAGATTTATTTATTATGTAAACAGTGTTCTGCCTGTATGTGTCCCTGCAGGCCAGACGATGGCGCCAGATCTCATAGATTGTTGTGAGCCACCAAGTGGTTTCTGGGAATTGAACTCAGGACCTCTGAAAGAGCAGCCAGTGTGCTTAACCTTGAGCCATCTCTCCAGCCCAATATTTTGTTTTTGTTTTTATTTTAAATTGTTATACGATGTTTCCTTGTTTTGTTTTGTAACAGCGTTTCTCTGTGTAGTCCAGAGAAACCTCAAACTCACTGTGTAGACCAGGCTGGCCTCCAACTCAGAAATCCACCTGCCTCTGCCTCATATGTGCTAGACAATGTTTCCTTGTAAATACATATTAGGGGAATAGTATTAGGGACACTACACACAGTAGAAAAGACAAAGATGATGATCACATATCAAGTCTGTGAGGTGTTGTGCCACTTGAGTATTTAGTAAACACGGGTTCTGAGTACCAAAGTTGTACATGTGACTCTGCAGAGCCTGTAATCTGTGTGGGAACGTGGATAGCTGGCCTGTCAATTGCAGTACGTTTGGTGCATGGAGGGCTGGACCCAGCCAGAGAGAGCAGTGTGTCAAAAGGGAAGCCTAGTGGAGGTCATTTGCATAGTCTAAGTTTTGGACTCTGTTACAGTTCCCTGAGCCCAAGCCACATCTTGATCTGTAGCTGTGTTTCAACTGCCTTCCCTGCACTTTCCCCAAAGGTGCAGCTTTGGCCTGAGTGGACACTGCCCCGAAGAGTGGCGAAGTCCCCGGGGGTGTGGAGGGCGACACCGTACCGCCCTGTGTGCTAACCACCCACCTTGTCCTGTCACAGAGCACCTACTGTTCCACCATGGTTCAGCACTGTGAAGCCCTCAACCGCTCTGTCCAGGTGGTCAACCTGGATCCGGCAGCAGAGCACTTCAACTATCCTGTGATGGCTGGTAAGACCTGGCACAGCCCCCTTCAGTGCCGCGTCCCTTGGCACTGAAAGCAGGCTGCTCAGCCCTGAGGGTGTGTGTTCTTGGGAGGCTGTTAGAGGAGCTGGTATCAGTGAGGTATGAGAAGGTACAGCTTCAGAAAGGACACAAGGGACATTTTCAAGAAAGAGCTCTTGCTCACATGAGGTCCAGCTGAGCAGTTGTGTCAGACACTGATAGAAAGTGGCTGTTAGACGTGGCGACATTGGCAGCTGTGACCAGCGCTAGCAGTGGAGCAGCAGGGCTGGCGGCAGGTAGGAGTGGACTGGAGTGAAGCGGAGGGCGCCGTATTGTGGACACTGCCACAGAATGTTTTAGTTTTCCTTGAGTTTTGAAATAGTTTCTTGTAGCTGGGGCTGCTCTCAAACGCCTTATATAGCCAAGGATGACCTTTTCCTTCAAAACTTCCTGCATTTACCTTTTGACTTCTGGGGTTACTGACTTGAGCCAGGGGTGTGGTCATGAGGAGAGTGTTGGCTTCTAGTAGGTGGAGTCAGGGAGCAGGCTGAGGAGGGGATGGAAACCACCTGTGATTGCTCTCAGAGGCAGGCTGTTGCTTCAGGATTGTGTGGGTGAGAGCTCTGAAGCTGCCTTAAGTGAAAAGATGCATTAGAAGGACCTGGGGGCCTCAAGAACCCAGGAGGGAAACTGTATGAGATGAGAGGCCAGCCCAAATTAACAGGAGCCAAGACCAAAGTGATTGATTTCCAAAATGAATGAGAACTGTCTGTATTCCAGGATACTTAATACCTTTTTTATAGGTAAGTCACACAGTTCCCATCCTTCCATCCCAGGATGAGTGAGTTCTGGAGTTAACTAGCTTAACTTGGGTCATCAAGTTAAGAGATGGAAGTTGGCTTCGTTTTAGATTCCTTCTTGATACAGGTAATACACAGCTGAATGGTCAAAACTGTGAAGGACACAGGAGGAAGTAGGCAGAAAAATCTCCCTAATCATGGCCCAGCAGTGGAACCGCTCCTTGGAGCAGCCAGTGTTACCAGTTTCTGATGTGTTCCTCCATAAGCAACTTGTGCATCTAAAATCCAGCCTGAGTGTTTGGTCATGTGTGTGTAGTGGACTTCTGTGCTTTGTTTTGTGTTTTGCCTTGAGAAAGGGCCTAACTGCATGGATCCTCTTGCCTCATTCTCCTAAGAGCTAAGACTAGTGGACCGTCACAACAGCCTTTTTCTTCCAGCACACCCATTCTTGCAGGAAGCTCCATGCCAGGAGCTTAGTTTCCACTTAATGATACAGCTGGGCAATTGTATTATGGCAATGCCTAAAGGGCTTCTCCTTCAAGTTGGGCATGGTGGAACACACCTTTTATCCCAGACTCAGGAGGCAGAACCAGGCTGATCTCTTTGAATTCCAGGACAGCCAGAGCTACATAGTGACACCCTGTCTCAAAAACCCAAACTGAGGTGGGGGGGAGCTTTCCCTCCCCTTTCTCTGTCTGCATAGTGTTCTGCTGTGTAATATCTGTGCCTTAATTTATTTGCTCAGTCAGATGTCTTAACTCCACATACTCCTTTGAGGCAGGTTCTGCAGCTGAATCTGGAGACAAGCCCCAGCAACCTTCCCTCCTCCACCCCACAGCACTGGGGTTACAGGCATATATCTATGCCCAGCTTTTTACATGGGTGCTAGAGTTTCACAATTGGGTCCTCAGGCTTGTACCTCAAGGACTTAGTCTCAGGGCATCTTCCCAGCCCCACATGTGAGTTCTTACATATCTGTTAGTCACTACTAGACTAGGAGGATGAAGTTTTCCAGGTGAATGCTCACGCTGGTCCCTGCCTGGCTCTCTAGACATCCGGGAACTGATTGAGGTGGACGATGTGATGGAGGACGGTTCTCTGCGGTTTGGTCCCAATGGAGGATTGGTATTCTGCATGGAGTACTTTGCCAACAACTTTGACTGGCTGGAGAACTGCCTGGGACACGTTGAGGACGACTACATCCTTTTTGACTGTCCAGGTGTGCTAGCCACTTGAATGTGCTGTCTGCCCTGAACCTGTGATGGCTGTATCCTCGTGGGGGCAGGGGTAAATGACTGCGCCGAGGAGCTGGCTCCAGTTATCCCTTGGGTTCATCAAGTGCTTATTGAGAACAACCTTGAGAATAAGGGAGCCAGGGCCAGTGCCATGGAGCTTAGGATTCGGTGGCAAGCAAGCAAGATAAACGAAGTCCCCATGATTAATATTGGTGGCAGGTGACTCACAGAAGGAACATAGGCTGTTCTGCAGAAGAAAGGTTCAGGAGGCCACTGGTCACTTATCCTTTAAGCTAGGTTTGTAGGGCAAAATGAAGACAACTGCAGGCGGAGGGCTGAAGAAAAGATGCAGTAGGCAGACTGGAGGTCGGGATGGTGGGGCCCAGTGAGCAGAGGTGTCTGAGGTGAAACTGCTTCTGAAAGGGGGTGAACTTGATCCCGACCAGCCTCTCTCATCTGCGGCCTTCGCTTGCTTTCTTTCTCTTGCTTTTAATCAAACACATGGGCTCCCACAGAAAAGTGTGCCTCTGTGTGTGTGCGCGCGCGTGTGTGTGGGTGTTAAACACATGGGCTCCCACAGAAGTGTGTGTGCGTGACTGTGTGTTGTGGATACTTATGGGTGTGAATATTCCCAAACTGCACGCCTCTCTGTGCTTAGATTTTTGTTTTTCTGTGTTGAGGGTTGAACCCAGGGATAGTTAGTGTCAGGGAGGCAATCTGTCATGGGGTCACATCCCTAGCCCCAGCCCTGGCAAAAGCTGAGGTGTGAAAATTGATATCTGCTCCATGGTTGTCCTGGGAATCTGTAAGGTCCCTTAACAGCTGAGTGCAGGGCATGGAGAGGGGCTCAGAGGTTAAGAGCACTTGCTCCTCCAGAGGTCCCAAGTTCTGTTCCCAACATAGGTGTTGGGTGGCTTACAACTTGTTAACTTCAGCTCTGATGCCCTCTTCTGGCCTCCACAGGCACCTGCAATATACATAATTCAAAATAATAAAACTCTCTCAGGAAAAACAAAAGTCAAAGAAGAAACAAAACTTAATGTAGTCTGAGGGTCTGAGGGGTGATGAAGTTCCAGAGTGCTTGCCTAGCCTGCTTGAGGCCACAGTTGGGTCCCCAGCACCACAGACAGGACAAAGCAAAGCACCGGGATGTCATAGTAGGTTCTGACTTCCTTCTCTAGTACCAGGGTTGGACTGAGTGCTTCAGACACACTAGGCATGCATCATACCACTGTGCGCCCCCTCCCCTTTTACAATGTCTCTGCAGCATCCTGGGTGTGCACGAGCTGCCGTAACCAGGTTACTGTGTTCTGGTGCTCTCCCCAGGTCAGATTGAACTGTACACACACCTGCCTGTGATGAAGCAGCTGGTCCAGCAGCTTGAACAGTGGGAGTTCCGAGTGTGTGGAGTGTTCCTTGTTGATTCTCAGTTCATGGTGGAGTCTTTCAAGGTATGAGGATGAATCCCTTGTAGATTTTTCAGTCCTGAGTAGAAAGCAAGTGTCAGTCTCTGCTCATTCTTTGTGAGTCTGGACGTTTCATAGGCTATTCTATTTATTTAGTATCTCCAGTGATCAGAGTACTATGTGAATGTTTGCTCGACTAGAAAATAGATTTGAAACTGGGCGGTGGTAGCACACGCCTTTAGTCCCAGCACTCAGGAGGCAGAGGCTGGTGAATCTCAGTGAGTTTGAGGCCAGCCAGAACTGAGAAACCATGTCTCGAAAAGCCAAGAAAAAGAAAATAGATTTGGGCTAGATGTGGTGGCACATACCTTTAATCCTAGCACTCAGGAGGCAGAGGAGGAGGCAGAAGGATCTCCTTGAGTTCTGGGCCTGCCCAGAGCTCTAAATATACACATATATATTTGAGAGAACTGCTTATGAAATAAAAATCAAGGCAAATGGGCACTGCATTAGGTGTGTATTTTAAAGTATTGAGAGAGGGGAGGGAGGGGGAATTGTTTGGGATATAATATATGAGAGAAGAAAAAAAAAACCAAAAACTGCTGGGTGGTGGTGGCGCACTCCTTTAATCCCAGCACTTGGGAGGCAGAGACAGGAGGATCTCTGTAAGTTCAAAAACCAGCCTTGTCTACAAGAGCTAGTTCCAGGACAGCCTCCAAAGTCACAGAGAAACCCTGTCTGGAAAGAAAAAGCAAACTAGTGGCTGGAAGATGGCTCAGGGGTTAAGAGCACTGGCTGTTCTTCCAGAGGTCCTGAGTTCAATTCCCATGAACCACATGGAGAAGGAGGAGGAGGAGGAGGGAGAGAAAAATCCTTGTCTTTTTTTTTTTTTTTTAAGATTTATTTATTTATTATGTATACAGCATTCTGTCTGCATGTATGCCTGCAGGCCAGAAGAGGGCGCCAGATCTCATTACAGATGGTTGTAAGCCACCATGTGGTTGCTGGGAATTGAACTCAGGACCTCTGGAAGAGCAGCCAGTGCTCTTAACCTCTGAGCCATCTCTCCAGCCCGAAAAATCCTTGTCTTGAAAGAACATGGAATGTGCTTTTAAAAAATTACTGAGCTGGGTATGTGGTTAATGCCTGCAGTCCCAGTGCTCAGGAGGCTAAGGCAGGAGTGTTACTGCAAGTTCAAGACCAGCCTGAGCTACAGAGTAAGGCAGTATCTCAAATATAGGGGTTAAAAAAATATTTTTAATTTTCTGAGGATCTTTTGTCCAGTTTAGGAGTTATAGACTCAGTTTCTCATTAGTCCTGAGGGTATTAGTGGAAAAGAAGGTTAATGTCATGATCAAAGTCAAGAAATGTGATCAGGGGTTGGAGAGATGGTTCAGCAGTTAGAGCACTGGCTGCTCTTCCAGAGTACGTGGGTTCAATTCCCAGCAACCACATGACAGCTCCCAGCTGTCTGTAACTCAGATATACGTTCAGGCAAAACACCAACATACATGAAATAAATAAATTTAAAAAAGAAATGTCATCAATGAAGGTTGACATTGATGGATTTGGGATAGAGTATTTCTATGTATCAAAACTGGCCCAGAACTTGCTCTCCACCTGCTCAGATGGGATTAAAGGCCTGCCACGCCCCTCTGATCACATAGATGAGGTCACATCTTCCCTTGTCTCCTCTGGGGCCAAGGCTCTGCCACCTCTTAGCAAGGTTAGTATTCTGGGTCATATGCCAGTATCCTTCCAGTGAGTCTGGATGCCCTTGTTGGCAAAAAAATCATCTTTTCTGCGCTCTTTTCTTCTGCAGTTTATTTCTGGCATCCTGGCAGCTCTAAGTGCCATGATTTCTCTAGAAATCCCACAAGTTAACATCATGACAAAGATGGACCTGCTGAGTAAGAAAGCCAAGAAGGAAATTGAGAAGTGAGTTCAGGGCTGTCTGTTCCCAGTGGGGGTCTATTTGGGGTGAGCCTTCTGCTAGACAAGTCCTGAGGTATCCGTCTTTTCCCTCATGTAGTCCTTCTTTGTCTCCCCTCTCACCTGTACAGGTTTCTAGATCCAGAAATGTACTCTCTGCTAGAAGATTCAACAGGTGACTTAAGAAGCCAAAAATTCAAGAAGTTAACGAAAGCTGTGTGTGGCCTGGTAAGTTTCACAGTGCTTCCTTCTAGACTTCTTGAATGGCTCCTCAGGTATCTGCCCACGGCCAGCTAGTGTCTACCTGTGTTTGAGCCTTCACACTCTACCATTTCAGATGGCTGTGGAATTGAGATGGGTACCAGCTTCTGGTTACCTAGAAACCAGCTATTTGCTAACGAGTTATAAGTCAGAAGTCTGTTTCCAGCTCTCCCTTTCCTAGTCCAGTGCATTTGTGTGTTTGCTTGCTCATTTGTTTTTATGTTTATTTATTTGTGTGTGCATGTGTGCATTCGTGCCAGGAAGACAAGCTTCAGGAGCTGGTTCTAAGGATGAACTTAGCACCTTTACCTGCTGAGCTAAGCCATCCTGTCTTTTTTTTAAGACAAGGTTTCTCTGTGTAGCCTTGGAACCTGTCCTGGAACTTGCTGTGTAAACCAGGCTGGCCTCAAACTCACAGAGATCCACCTGCCTCTGCCTCTGGTGTGCCACCACCGTTCCACTCCACTTCTTTTTTCCTTTTTTTTCTTTTCTTTTTTTTTTTTTTTTTTTGGGTTTTCGAGACAGGGTTTCTCTGTGGCTTTGGGGGCTGTCCTGGAACTCACTTTGTAGACCAGGCTGGCCTCGAACTCACAGAGATCCGCCTGCCTCTGCCTCCCAAGTGCTGGGATTAAAGGCGTGCGCCACCAACGCCTGGCTCCATTCCACTTCTAAGAGGAGAGTGTAAGAGTAAGATCAGTTACCAGGCTGTGTGGAACATGCCTTTAATCCTAGCACTTGGGAGGTAGGTGGTTCTCTGTGAGTTCAAGGCCAGCCTGGCCTACACAGAGAAACTCAGTGCCAAACAAAAAACACCCCAGACCCAAGATGGAAACGATATGCTGCATATCCTCAAGTGACCCTGTCGTGAACTGCACTCTCGTAGATCGATGACTACAGCATGGTCCGGTTTCTGCCATACGATCAGTCGGATGAGGAGAGCATGAACATTGTGCTCCAGCACATCGACTTTGCCATTCAGTATGGGGAGGACTTGGAGTTTAAGGAGCCAAAGGTAGCTTGGGATTTAGGGTGTGAACTCCCTCAAGGTCCCCTGAGACGAGGGAGTTCATTTTCTATTTTGTCTTTCTTTTGCGTCAGGAACAGGAAGAAGAGTCTTCCTCCATGTTTGATGAATACTTTCAAGATCGGCAGAGTGAGTGAGGTTGACTACAGTGACCATCTGCTTGTGGCCGCCAGGAAGGCTCTTTTGGACTCTTTTGGAGGAGGTGACCATGGGAAGCAGCTGCTTGTGAACAACGCTGGGCTCTCCCCAGAGTGAGCCCAGATTGTGCTCTGCTCTGAAACCACTTCTCTTTCAAGAGGAGACTTTATTCTGACAGCATCATTTGGACTTAAAAAATCAAAGTAGCAATTCATGCACAGACTTGTACATAATATAGATCAACTATCCCCCCCCTCCCTCTCTCTCCCTCTCTCTCTCTCTCTCTCTCTCTCTCTCTCTCTCTCTCTCTCTGTGTGTGTGTGTGTGTGTGTGTGTGTGTGTGTGTGTGTGTGTGTGCGCGCGCTCGCGCTTTATTTCTACAGTTAGATTTTCGGGTTTTTTTGAGGGATTTTCTTTTTTGAAGAGGTACAATTATTATAACAAAACATCTCCATCCAAATGAAGAAAATTGGGAGGGTATACATAAATCTTACCGAATTCAAACATGTATTATTTATATAATTAAAATTAAAACTGTTTTGAGATATTTATTTATGAATGTATGTGTTGGAAACGGGTCTTCCCCTTTTTTGGTATTTTGAGACTGTTTCTCTGTGTAACCCTGGCCATCCTGGAACTCCACTTGGTAGACCAGGCTGGCCTGGAACTCAGAGATCCTCCTGCCTCTGCCTCCCAAGAGTGGGATTAAAGGCGTGTGGCAGTGGTGGTGCACTTTACCCTATGGTGGTCCCTGACTGTCTCAACGTGACAAGGAAGATAGGGAGATAAACACCACAAGTAGACTTCATAAAACTGAGCTGAGCAGCCAGGAGTGAGGGGACCACACCTGTGACGCCAGAATAAGAGTATTCAGGTGGAGGCGGATGGCTCGTCAACTCAAGACGCACACACCCAGTTTGAAACCAGCCTGGACAGAATAAGAATCTCCCTCAAGAAAATAAAAATAAGGGCCGCCGAGATGGCTCAAGTGTGTAAAGGTACCCAGAGACCTGAGACCGGTGCCCAGAGCCCCCACGGTGGAAGGTGAGAACTTCCGCTTTCCACGAGGGCTGCAATAAAAATAAAAGACTTGACAGGGGAGAAGGATAAACCAGGGAGCTGAGTGGTACTGGATTTGAAACAGGCCCGGGAATGAAAGAAAGCGGGAAGTGATCATTAACCTCTGAGGATTCTTTAATTACAAATCTCTTATGCATAAGCGCCACACTCAGAGTCTAAAGCTCCCGCACCCCCTGGCGCCCCTTCCGGTCAGAGCAGCCTCGGCAACCGGGGGCGGAAGCTAAACCGGAAGTGCATCTTTTCGCTTCGCCCGCCTCTTCCGGCTCACTTCCGCCCACTCCACCCAGGTTCGCTGGCCGGAAACGTTCCGCGTTACCTGGGTCCTGCTTCTCTGGATCGAATCCGGACACCGCCAAAATGCCGGTAAGGCTTCGAGCCCCGAGCGCGGAGAGCCGAGCGGGCAGGGGCCTGAGGAGAGGCGGGAGGCTCGCGTTAGAAGTCCCGGGAGAGAGAAAACTGTTGCCCTGCACTCCAGCCCCAGCCCTTCGCCTCCAGCCCCAACCCCTTTCTCGCCCGGCTGCCTTCTCCCTAGTCCTGCAGTGTTCCCAGATCCTACCCGAGAGCCTCGAAGTTAAGAACGACGGCTTCTAATTTATTTTTGAATCTAGGGTCCAGCTTCTCCTTTCCTCTCCCCCTTGTCACTTCCACTTCCTCCTCCGCCCCAGGGAGTCGGTCGGCCTGCTGCTGAGCACCTGTCACCTCCCTGACCGACCCCTCCATCGTCCTCCCTGCTGTAGCTCCCCATTCTACCCCCAGACCACCACCGAGTCAGCACTGGTTTCCAGGAGTTTCCTCTTTCGTGTGCTTTCGAGTGGGAGGAAAAAAATGGTGATGGGCAGGTAGTCCTTAACTTCTGACTGCCAGTCTGTCTCCATCATGGGTTCCGTTTTGCAGATTAGTAAAGGGATGAGCTAATACGTCCACATTGGACAAGCGTCACTGAACTCTAAACCAGCACTGCTAAGAGCAGCGACCAAGGCCCGCTCAAGGAGCTTACATTTTAACGGGTAGACAGTAACCATGTAAATATAAATATGAGATAGGTTCAGATCTTTACAAATGCTATGAAGAAAACAGATCGGATGACAACACTAGCCTGCCATGACCGCACTTATCTCTTACGCCGTCACTCTAAGAGGCAGAGGTATCAGACAAAATGGACTATATGATGAGTTCTAGGCCAGCTTGAGTTATATAGCTATAAAACCTGCCTCCAAAATATGGGGAAAAAGAGGCTTGGGAAAGTGCTTGCTGTGCAAGCGGTGGGGCTGGGTGTGTGTGTACGGTGTAGCCGCCTGTGTTTATTCCTCCAGCCCTGGGGAGGCAGGAGGCAGGCTGATCCTCTGGGCTCACCAGCCAGCCATTCTAGCAAAAAATCAGCAGCAGCAAGTTCTGGGTTCAGTGAGAGACACTGCCACACACACACACACACACACACACACACACACACACACACACACACACACACACACACTGTGGGATGAGGAAGTGGCTACTGAGTGTTGCACAAGGACCTGAGTTCCGGTGCCTAGAACCCAATTGAACAGTCAGGGAGGGAACTGTCTGTAATTCCAGAGCTGGGAAGGTGTAGAGAGCCCTGAGGCTCCTTGTCTCAAAACTAAAGTGGAAAAAGCAGTTGGAAGAGACCTCTGGCTTCCACATGTAGACACACACATTCACCTGCATGCACACATGAACACGTACACATACACTACACACAAACATGCATGAGTGCATGCATGGACATGTGCAAAAAGCAAAACCAACACAGTACCCAGTGACAGGGAGGACAAGAGGCTGGCATGGATGGGGTGTGCTTGTACTGAGAAGGAGAGCAAGTGTAAGTTTCAGCTGTGCGTATGTGTTTTGGCAGCACTGGGAATTGAACCCAGAGCCTCATGGCAGGCTACATAGACCCTCTACCACTGGTCTATGTCCCCACCTCCTCCTTACCTTTTATTTTGAAGGAGGGTCTCATAAAGTTGCCCAGGCTGGCCTTGAACTTGTGATGCTCCTGCCTCAGCTTCCCAAGTAGCTGGGATCACAGGCCTGCAACTCCATGTTCAGCTTTGTAAGGTTCATGAGTCTTGACGAGTCTTAAAGTTACCGAGTGTTGAGCTGTGTGTGGAGACCCAGGGTTACTCTCCAGATGAGCCCTTCATTCCCAGGATGACACTGTGAAGTAGATGTCCTTATTTTGATGGTTTTACTGAAGGAACTAGAGCTCAGAGAATTAATGTGACTTGTGCAGTGTTTCAAGTAGTGAAGCCAGAGTTTAAGCCAGAAAGGAAAGCTCTGTACTCATTCCAGTTGGGCACAGAGAATTCTGGACTTAGCCTATGGTAACTTATTTTATGTCTGCTTTCTCTACTAGGAGGAAATATCACATATATGCCTATATATGTATATATTTGTGTGCATATTATATATGTGTATATACATACATACATACATACATACATACATACATATAGGATCTCATATCAGAGCCTAGAGAAATGGCTCAGTAGTTACGAGTGCTTGCTGCTGTTGGAAACACATGTACTTGGTGTCACACAAAGAAACACATAAAGCTAAAGCAACTTCACAAAGCAATTTTTTTTCGGGGGTGGGGGTGGGGGATTTACCATGAGCTGGACACAAACCGAGTTAGCAAGCACAACGGGGTGGGTAGTTCACGTAATTTTTATTCTCACTCAGGTAGTGACTGTGTCTTTCATGACTGTCTAGGTTTTTGTTTGTTTGTTTGGTTGGTTGGTTTTTTTGTTTGTTTGTTTGTTTGGTTGGTTGGTTTTTCAAGACAGGGTTTCCTCTGTGGCTTCAGAGGCTGTCCTGGAACTAACTCTTGTAGACCAGGCTGGTCTTGAACTCACAGAGATCTTCCTGTCTCTGCCTCCCGACAGAGGATTAAAGGAGTGCGCCACCATCACCTGGCGACTGTCTAGTTTCAAAGGACTCTTCACATAGGAACTGAAGGGTAGGGGGAAGGGTCAGCCCCTTGGGCCATCAGATTCTAGTGATGCAGCAGTGCCTTTGGATAACAGAAGTGGTACCAGGTGGGGAGATTAAGAGACGTGGAGGTTGGTGTGGTAGTGGCGTATGCATTTAGTCACAGGCAGATCTCTGTGAGTTTGAGACCAGCCTAGTCTACAAGACTCCACAGGGAAACCCTGTCTCACAAAGCCAAAAGAAAGAAAAAGAAAGCCGGGCGTTGGTGGTGCACGCCTTTAATCCCAGCACTCGGGAGGAGGCAGAGGCAGGCGGATCTCTGTGAGTTCGAGGCCAGCCTGGTCTACAGAGCGAGTTCCAGGACAGCCTCCAAAGCCACAGAGAAACCCTGTCTCGAAAAACCAAAAAAAAAAAAGGAAAGAAAAAGAAAATGTGTGCAAAGATGGCTTAGGGATGAAGAGCACTGGGTGCTCTTCCAGAGGTCTGAAGTTCAATTTCTAGCACCCAAATGGCAACTCAGAACCATCTATAATGGGATCTTATACCCTCTTCTGGCATGCACTCGTACAAAAAGTACAATTTTAAATGCGCATACAAGTTTTCTAGGTGGAGCAGGTTGGCTCTTGAAAGGCTAACTACTGTTGATAGCAGAAAAGCCCATTCACACATTACTCTTAATAGAGCACTAGAATTTGTTCCCAGAATCCATATCCATCAGCTCACAACTGCCAGGTCCAGGGAACCCAACAGCCACTTCTGAACTCCTGGGCACTGTATACACATAGAAATCCCTATACATAGACTCAGCACATACACATAATTAATACATTTTTTGATTGTTTGTTTTTGAGACAGGGGTTCTTTTTTTGGAGCCTGTCTTGGAATTCACTCTGTAGATCAGGCTGACCTCGAACTTAGAGATCCTCCTGCCTCTGCCTCCTAAGTGACTGCATTAATGGCGTGCGCCACCACTGCCCAGCCAATAGAATACTCTTTAATCTTAAAAAAAAGTTACACTGTCACTCATTTCTATCTTGCACAACGAAAGTTGCTTGCAATGATTTGATGAATGAATGAATGGTTTTGTTCACAGCAGACATAAAAAGCAAAACCAGGAACCAGCAAGTGAAGTTGCTGCTTTCCCTGTCCTTTAGCTCATACCTGCTCACCAGAGGTGTGGTGTGTGTATCTTCTTCCTTTTACAAGCTTAGAAACAGGCTAGTGGGAATTGCGATCGAGTTTAGCTGGTAGAGCACTTGCCTCGTGTGCCTGAAGCCAGTACTGTGGTTACCTAGACCTGTCATCCCGGCATTGAGGGGGCAGAGGCTGGAATGTGTTCACAGTCATCCTCACTCACAGAGTGAGACACCAGCCTGGGCTGCATGAAACGCTGCTGGGGCTGAAGGGGTGGGGGTGGGGAAAGAGGTTCTAGGAAGAATCATGCAGTCTTGATTGGAGACAGATAGAGGACGTGGCGGATTTCAGAACTAGGGCTTGGGTCCTGGCTGGCTGGAGGGGGGGG